TCTGCGCCGTGGCCAGCTACACGCAGCGGAGTTACAGCCACGCTTCGAAGCTAGTCCCAGATTTTCAAAGTCTTTAATGGTTTTTTCAGTGTCCCACATGGGATTTGCAGAAAACACTTCCAGAAAACATTTCAGGAAGCGCCGAGCAAGAAACCAGGGGAAAATCCAAGCCCCTTGGAAGTGCATCAGGCTCCAGCACCTCCTCCCGCCTGCCGAAGCGCAGCCCAGAAGGGCTCTCAACGTGAGCARGGACCTTTAGCCGCCAGATTCTGCTTCCAGCCCGGAAAGCATCCACATTGGGCATGGATACGAAGCTCCTTGGACGCGTCTCTGCCACCGAAGAGTCCTCCATGCAATGAACCACAGCAGGGCACACGCAGGCTAAGGACCAATAAACCCTCTCGTATGCAGAGCAAAAGCAGAAATTAATAATAAATTGCTCCCCATTCAAATGATCAGGGAAAGGAGTTGACTTTTAGATTTGGAAACAAGACCAAGCAGCCAAATTAGGGATTSAAAACTCCGCTGGAGTTGAAGATTTATATATAAAATAGATTCTATCTTTTATATCTATTTTATTAATACATATAAAAGCTATTTTTCCTTTTGCAGAGGTTTGCCCCTTCTGCAGAGCTGACTCCCTGTCGCTTAAAAACCTGCTACATGCAGCAAAATAGAGATTATTGAATAGATTTTCAAGCAAACTGGACCCTCTTGTTGCGTGTGTGCTGAACACTGTGTTCAGCATCCAAGTGAGCATTTTTCCCACCCCCACCACAAACAAACCAGAATTCAAGCTCCATCTCCTCTTTTTTCACAGATGGCATCAAAGCGATGCAAAACACTCGTGTTCACACATGCACAACGGACTGAAAACGTGTATTTAAAGAGTTTCTCTCTTTTTTTTATCAGGCAAATGTCTCAGCATTCACATTATGAGCAAAAATCACCTCGTAGGCAGCATCCTCCCAGCTTCACCTTAAACACTGCTAATGACACATTTTAAAAAAAAAACACTGGCTTAAATGTGCTTGTGGGAAGCCCCTTTGCCTCCATGCACATCAAAACCCAGGCAAAAAAGGACATTTGTGAGTGTCTCTGCTCTGCCCAAACACCCTTAATCTCCCCCAATTGCCTGCAATTCAGATTGGGGCCTTTTCAGCTCACCTGAACTTTTAAAGCAATTCTCCCCTAACAAATATTTACAGGCGGCACTTTGAACTCGAGCAGGGGGCTCACAAGAGCTCTCTGCTTCCCATTTTCTTCCTTAACAGCTCCTCCATTTCAATGCAGCAGCTTGGAGCACTTGCAAGCACAGCCAGGCCAGGACCATTAACCACTTTAGGGCACCTCTAGCAAAGCCAGCAGGGAGCAGAGCCTCAAGAGCAGCTCGGGGGAGCCCCTTAAAGCCCGGCCTATCTACATGGGAAGAGAAATGCTGGAGCGATTGTTGTGGAAATGTAAACTAAGCCATAATAAAATAAAATAAAATAAAATAAAATAAAATAAAATAAAATAAAATAAAATAAAATAAAATAAAATAAAATAAAATAAAATAAAATAAAATAAAATAATAAAATAAAAGTGCTTTGGAAGATTTAGAGACTAAACACTTTTCTGAAGCCCCTAAAGGAGGAGAACATGATCAACCACAGGATCCTGGGCCATCACAGCCCCAAGCTCCGCTTTGGCCTCTCATTTCCAGCAATGTGGGTGAGCAGTCAGTGGGAGTCTCAGCTCCATCAGTGCCTCTTGGTCCCACTGCAGGCTCCTATTCTGCCTAACCATAAACATCTTGACCCCGGATCTGCTTCCCTAGAGTCTTCAAGCTAAGGAGTCTCCAGGCGCAGCGAGGAAGCCCTGCTGCAGTCCACACTAGGAGCGYGCTGCAGAAATCTCGTTTCATAATCTGTTCCCTTACAGCGAACACGGTTGTATTTCAGTTTCTGAAAGGTTGATGGGCCAGGATTTCCATCTCTGCCCTCCTTTGTTAAATCACTGCATATATCCATATACCCGCCTTCCCAGTCCTGCATGCACGAACCCACAAACCACCCTGAAATATCCAAACTTTCCTGCTTCCCCCCCGCAATCCTGGCACCTACAGCAGCTGCTACTGGTGCGGTATGGGATTTACGAGTGACGGCTCGGTCCATGGCGCACACGGCTCCACGGCACGCCGGAACAAAAGCYGGAGCTCAGGAAAACTTCAGCGAGGAAGGAGAGCAGCGACGGGGCCGTGGACAATGCGGGGATCAGCGGCGCGGGGAGCCCCCGAGCCCCCGGCCAGGCCGGGATCAGCWCCCGCGCTTAACACAAACAACGGCAGAACTGAATTGGTTTAAGCCAGGAACGGGGCCAACGCTCAGAAGCGAGGGCTGCTTGGAGGCTCGGTGGGACGTTGGGRCCGCTTCCGGGCTGCTTCCATCAGGACCCTTCCCGTTCGTGCTGCAGGGAGGAGCAGGAATGGGACTTCAAGCACGCGAGGCAGGAGTCGCCAGGAAAACAGGAGGAATTTGTGCTCTGGCCACTGGAGAGCATCAGGTCTCCCTGGGTGGAGCACAACTTGAAGGCACATCAAGAGGCTCGAAAGGTTGGGCCGAGCAGTCAAGAAACCCCTTAAGGGCTCCAGGACCCAGGAGCAACTTGGGTGTAAGAGATGGGCAGGATGAGAAGCCCTTTCCTGGCTGATATTCTCACCCTTTATGTCCGCCCTCACTCCTACAAGAAACCAAATCAAGTTTAAGGACAATCAAGTCTTTGAATCATTTTAGGGAAGTTTTAACCTAGCAGGGAAAGAGTTGCATTGCCAAATCCTAGCTCTTAAGTGCACTATGCAATTTTTATGATCTTTAAATATTCATCTGTGACCACAACCTGAGTGTAAGAATACTGCTAATAAGGGCAATTTTGAAAAGATGTGTGTTCAGGCAGGTCTTCTCGGGAAACGGATGAAGATAAGAACCCTCATCAGTAAAATTGCGATTTTTGAAGCTCTTATACCTTCAAAMAGCAAGAGCACAACTCCTCCAAAGCAGCCACCAGAATAAAATGTCTAAAAATAGTTCCTCCAAATGTTGTTTTCTAAAGCATGAGAATATCCTGAAAATTCCCCAGATTCCCAACCTGAGATGTGCCAGCATGGAAATCTCCAGCTCCAAGAGTTTAAAAAACAAAAGGTCCTGAACAAGAAGGTCTAAACATCCTAAGGTGTCACCATCAGGCTCCTGCTAACCTTTCTTACAAGCCAACACCAGTCGTCACAGACGTTTACACAGCCTCATTACCCAGGCAGCATTAAACATCACACTGCCTATACCCGAGGGTGCCTGTGCAACCTCATCTCCACCAGCAGCTCGTCGCAGGGAATTCAGGACGAGTGTCAAGGCAGGAATTCTTGGTACTCACAGAGAGGAGCGCAAACGTGACCCGCTCTGGCCACAGCCACCTTGCAGGCCGAGGCAGCCCGCTCCGCCCAAGTGACGCCTGCAGCAGGGCTCCAAAGCCCCACACTGAACTTCCAGCCTTGGAGCCCCATGCTGAACTTCCAGCCTTGGAGCCCCACAATGAACTTCCAGCCTTGGAGGCCCCACTCTGAACTTCCAGGCTTGGAACCCCATGCTGAACTTCCAGCTTTGGAGCCCTACACTGAACTTCCAACCTTGGAGCCCCACATTGAACTTCCAGCCTTGGAGCCTCACGCTGAACTTCCAGCCTTGGAGCCCCCACGCTGAACTTCCAGCCTTGGGGCCCCACGCTGAACTTCCAGGCTCCGCGTTCCTGCTGGATCCCTGTGCTCCCTGCGGAAGYCGCCTCCTGACGAGCCCACCGGACAAACCCAGCCCTTGTCACGGGGCACTCACATAGCTCTCTCCAACATTAAAGACTCGTTAAGGCACTAAAGAATATCTGAAAAAAGTTCACTTTTACTCAAACTACGTCAAACATGTCAAAGAGCTACTGTAGGATTCTAGAAATTAAGGGTTTCTCCAGGATATGCTCCCATAATCTTCTGATCCTTCAAGAGCAGGTACATTTGCAAATTAAGCTATATTTAGGTAAAGGAGGGGAAAAGGGAAGGGTGGTTTCTGTTGCTTTTCAGCACTGAATTTCTCAAAAGAGGGTATTTTAATGTCGAGAATTCGTTTCTGATGAATTTAGCACTTTTGCCCAACTGCAGTGTCAAAAGCCAACTTTACATTCAAGTGGTGAGAAGTGGCTGAACTGGCTCCCTCTTCTTCAGCTAACGAAAAACAAAAACATGGTCACCCAACACAGTCCCAGTCCAGCCTCACCATCCTGCCTCTTGCAGATCCATACGTATATTTATCTGTAAAGTCTCCTCTTTCCTGGTCACAAACAAAGCACGACACCGAAGGYCTGTCCATCCTGTTGGCCATTTCTACAGCAGTTATTTTCAAGGACTGCCTGCAAGCCTGCAATGCTCTCAGTGCTGTGCAGATCAGGTGGACAGCCCCAAACTCACTGTGTGGTATAAAGGTCATTATTGCTAGTGCAGCTACAGTTACAACAAGCTCAGGGCACTTCAGGTCAGTCCATCATGAAGAGATTTTGCACTGCGATCTGCAAGAGAAGATGATGTGCAAGGAAACAGAGGTGACACTTGGCAGCTCAAGCACTGAAGRATCTGCTGATATCGGAGGTAGGGGAAATAGAAATTGAGAGAACAGTTGCATTTTAACATTACATGCTAGTATGACTGTAAAAAGCATTGATGAAACATTGTTCCACACTCCAAACACACTCAGTGATGTTCTTCAAACACCCGTGTTCCAACAAGCATGCACAAGGAAGGCAGAAGAGTCAACCAAACTGTGGTTCTTCAAARGGATATCCCCAAAATACAAGGAAAAAATGTTGCTCCAGTAGCCAAACACCACAGTGAGCACTGATAAAACTCAAGACTGGCATCTCGAGGCGAAGCCTCTAGTTTGTTGTGTTAGATTGAGTTTTCAAAGAAAATCAACCCCAACACTGACCTCTTGAAGTGGCTTGCCAGGACCCCCACCAGCTCACCAATCCTGCTGTCATTAGGGGGCTGCTTGCTGAGGAGACAGACGATGAGATCTTTGTTGTCCTTGGTGTGGAAGACYACGAGCTGGTCCTTCCCATTGGAGACACTCAATCCTATCAACTGCAAAGAGAAAGCAAGAGCCCTCTTACATTCCTTGTTGCATCTTTACTACTCGACAGACTCGTTCTTGCAAAGGAGGCTTTCCCCTCCAACACGCCGCGCTATATCTCAACTTCTACTGCCCCTAAAAGCCAAGCTCAGGGGAAYGGCAATGCTCCCAGAAGCAGGAAGGGGGAGAGAAAAGCACAGGGCGCAGATCACCTCGACCTCTGCACATTCACCACCACGTCCTGGTGAGCAGATGTGAAGGCAGCACACGCGGACGGGCCGGCTCCAGCAGACTTGCTCTCCCCAGCGCCTCAGATCCGCACCAGGCAGTGGAAAGAGCCACAAAAGTTTCTTTTTTTTTTTTTTTTTTTTTTTTTGTTCTTTCTTTTCAAATAAAAACAACAATGAGGAGCCTGGCCAGCAACCAGGTTTTCCGCTCAAATTCACATATGCAGCCCTGGGGATGTAATGATATGCAGATAACGCAAGAATGAAGCTTCCTAAAAGCATCTTGGTGAAGAATATGAGTTGCCAACCCCGCAAAGCAGTGATAACTGCAGTGTTTAGTCATGGATTAAGGTCCTGCTGTTCTGACAAAAGAAAAAAGTAGGATTTTTTTTCTTTCTGTTCTCTGTTAAGTAACTGCTTCTTTTAAAGCAGTTCACACACATGGCAAATTAAAGGCTTTGTCCTCATCTTCCCCCTGTAGGATGACAAAGCGAAAGCAGAAAACGGCTAAGAATGTAAAATCCTCTGGGTGAATATACCTACAGTAGGGAAGCATGCAAGGATGCTCAAAAAAAATAAAAAAAGAATAGAGGCAAACTGGTATTTAACAAACTGGTGGGGAGAGGGAGAAGGATAAGAGGAGACCACGGGGGCACTASAGCAGACATTCTCCATCCGTCCAAGGACTATGTGGCTCCTTGGAGTCATCCAGAGCTTTGCAGAGTGGAGTCACCTCCTAAAACCGAGAGGCACTGACGGCCTGTTTTGTGATACTGAAAATCTCATTAATCCCTTTGCAAAGAAAAACCCTTCTGAGCATCCCTTGTTGCCTGTGATGAAAGGATATTGGCCCAAAATGTAACTGGAGACTACCCAGGGCTTTTAGAAGCATGAATCACACGCGGAAGGAGCCTGAACACACACTTTCAGTTTGGCAGCCACCTACGTTTCACCAGCTATTATTCCCAAGAAACCTCTTCCAGCTCTGATGTCCTACATGGACTGGAGAGCTGTGGCCTCCCCGAAACGGTGCTGAAACCGATACCCGAGTATGGCATCGGTACCAAGCTTATGGATGACACCCCACACAAATATAGGGACACTTGTGGTCTGCTGCCTTGCAGTAGCTCACTAGAGCAAAAAATTGGTCGGAGATGGTCTAATAACATGGTGTGAAATGGTCTAATTGCTGTTATCTTGGGCACTGAGCAGAGAACTGCTACTGGCTGCATATATCCATYGCAGAGGGAGATTATTCTCTACCGTTCACAATGTTTTGAGGTTATAAAATATTTTGGAAACAAGCTACACTTGATGCACAGACATTAAGAGCTTGCCTGGGTTTCTCATGTTCCTTAAAATTAATTTACGTGCTTAAATATCACCCTACAATCACAACAGCAGCTCCAGGACTGCTGTTATCGGGGTTTTATATGTGCATCAACTGTGAAGAATGAACAAATCCCAGTGGCCGGATGCAAAAAGGCTTTTCAGACTTCAATTATTTACCCCAACTGCATGAGAAGTTCGAGAGCCCTTCAACTCTTGCCCATTCCCACTCCTAAAAGACTTTCTGCTGTAAGAAAAACACAAAAGAGTATTTCAGTCAAGTTGCTCATCTCAGTATTTACAAAAAGAAATATAAGCTCTGCCTGAAGATGGGAAAAACCCTCTTGGCATCCACAGAACATCCCATGCTGGATGCTGCAAGGTCTCTTCTGCTGCTCAACCACCTTTCAATTCTTCCCTGCCACTAGCAGTCTCCTTTTTTTCCCCTTCCAGGTAAGGATAAAAGGGCAATTGCATAGTAGCACTTCAGCCACAGCCGCAAAATCACCCCAGAAAGCAGAATATTGATCCAGAAACCCAGACTGGCTCCAGAGGAAGGTCACTGCTCCATGACCCCATGCACAAAATTCCGGGTTCATGGTACTCCAAATGGCAGAAAGCAGAATGTGGGAGGCACTTAAACCCCACGCGCATAGATAGAGTTAAAGGCAGCTCTGAGCATGATTCCTCCAGCTGCAAACAGGTTTAGGGCACTGGCAGACATCAGCTGACTGTCTCCAAAGAGATCTCCATGGCAACGGCATCCCGGAGGATGCTGCGGCGCTGCCGGGGCGCGGGAGCAACGCGGAGCGCGGGCAGCCCGGCTCGAGCCGCCTTCCCCTTGCGCTGCGCGGGGGGCTCCTGCCTCCCGCGCCGCATCCGCGGGGCAATCCAGGCTCCCTCGCCTCCTTCCAGCAGGACGTGTCTGAGGGAGCACCAGGCACCAAGCCTTAGGAGCTCAGGTTGAGAAATCTGGATGAAACAAAGATTTCTGGTCCTGGGTGTTTCACCCCATGCACTTCCACCCAGTGGTAGTTCTGACATCAGTCTGAGTCACTAGGGCTGCTTTTAGGCTGTTCTTCCTGTGCAAAATACTCCAGGACTTCTGGATTTGGATCAAGGAGAGATTTGCTTTCCTAGCCATAGGCTGCAAAAGGGAATAGCTGAAGATTTACAAATAAAGCTGATTTCTATCTCTTGAAATTCAAGTACTCCAAAAGCAAAGATGCAGAAGCACAAGCTGCTTTGCTGCCAGGAGAAATGCGTAGAAGAGAGCCAACATAATCAGCATTCATTACAGCAGCCGTCACTCTATACGAGTGCATATACCATTTCAGAGCTGCAGGTATTGTAAAAGCCATTAATTACACACATTTCCATGCCATGCCTTTTCCACAGGCGACCCGCAAATTGCACCTGACCTATTTGCCTCCTCCAGCTTTTAAGGCATTAAGGATTTTGGAGGAAAAGTGCCAGGTTACCAATAGTAAGGGAGCCAAAGATCTTCCCCAAGTGACCTGACCTTGCTCCATGCACAAGCTCTACCATTAAACGCAGCTGCAGGACAGGTAGGGCAGACATTTGGCCAGAGCTAGATAAATACAGATTTCTCTACAATTACTACWGTGGCAAGAAAATTATACCAGTCTAGGATAATGGGGCAGAAAATTAATAGTGAGAAATTGTGAGGAATTACATTTTATTTAAGGGATGTTCAGACACTGAGTTCATCTTGACACTTTGGCGAGGAAAAAACCCCCCAACACATCAGTTTTGAAAGAATAATCTGCTTATCGGCATCTCTGTGTATTTTAACAGGTCGGTTTGCACTAAGAGCCAGTCAGGGAGCAGCATAATCTGCTGACAASTGTGTTTTATACAATTAAGAGATAATATCAGGGGAGCACAACAGCATGAAGGAGAGCGACTTGCAGCTGCCAGGCAAGTGGCAGGAATGTCCTTTCCAACCACGAGCGCTGGCCTGGCACTACCCCTGGTGTCCCGCTCACGGGGATGCCCAAGGGCTAAAATGAGCCTTTCCTCCAGCCTCCTGCCCAGCAGTGACAATCTGCTGCTCTGTCGCTGGCTGCTAAACTCTGCTCCCCCRTGGGCTGCAAAACGGGCATTAAATCCAAATCGAGCTTTGGTAAGATTTACATTTAACCTGAACAAGTGTACAAAGAAATCAAATCAAACCAAACAAGGTGAAGGTGGAGCAAGCCCCCGGAGACACCGAGGTGGTGCCAGGAGCTGCTGCGAACCGCTGACCCCCGTGCAAGGTCTCGCAGTGCCCCACAAAGCAGAAAGGGCAAGAGARAGTGGCACGAGCAGGTTGGTCTCCAGCCTTTATTTTATTTCCTGAAATCAAAAGCTTGCATGATGCAGCTGTTCTGCAGACAAACACGCTGTATTATAAGCGTTTTAAAGACAAAAATGCACTACAAATGTAAACCAAGGTCCTATTTCTGTGTTAGGGACAGGAAAATGCCCATGACTCGGGAGAGTCGGAGGGGAGGTTCGCCCACCCCCGTACTTACATTATAGAGCGGGATGGTCTTCATCACCTTGTACTGCTTCACAGGGTCCATCTTATAGAGGTGCCGATCAGTAATGAAGATCGCTCTGTCCTCCACCTTATTAAAGCGATTCACCTACGGAGACAATATTTTTTCCATTCACTCTAACTTGCAGGACAAACATTTCCAGCATGAAATTTCCAGCATGCAACACATGCAAAGCTCTTAAACAGGTTTACTCCGTGGGTCTCTAAAYACTGGAAAGGGAATTTCACAATCCTGTTTTAAAATCAGAAATACAGTGTGTCAGAGAAGTAACGTTCCCAAAGTCACCCACAGGGTTGGGACCACCAAGAAAAGTCCAGGACATAGATCAACTGAAGGATTTTGATGCTTTCTGCTAGAAATACTTGACTTTCTACACATCTGTCCACTGAGCAGACTCCCAACCCAGGCAGATGTCTGCTTTTCCTGTTTTTTATGTGATTTTGTCACCCCAGAAGAATGACACACACGACTTGTCACACAGACAGTGGTCACCATGGTCTGTGACAGTTTAGATGMAAGATCCAGGGATGAAAGCACAAGCTTTGGACCATCCTGGATGTCAGCAGGTCCYACTTTCCTCCTTTAAAGCTTTTGGGCCTTCAATGTAACTAAGCAATTTGTCCGGGAGCGGGAAGCAGAAAACGCGGAGCGCCATCCTTGGCCAGCCCCAAGCAGCAGCAGATGCCTTGGCTGAGCATGGCCAAGCTCCAGCAGTCTTGCTGAAGTCGTGCCACTCTGCAGAAAGGAGTCAAAGAGGGACAGGCCAGAAGGAGTCCCAACAAGCCAAGCCCATACCCAGGACCTAGGTAGCCAACTGGTGGAAGGAAGACAAGGTCATCTCTTGGCAAGAAGATCCAAGCTGGTATGGCCTTGGGCTGCAAAGGGTATTGACACCATCCTCTCCTGTCCTGGGCAAGAAACRCTGAGCAAGGACCTAGCTCGCCTGGTCTGAAGGTGAGAGGTGAGAACGAAGTGTCCTGTGGCACTTCCATGCTGTCCTGACCTCATGGAGCTRAACATCCCACAGATGCAGAGCGAGGGTCAGCAGGAAATGGGCAGAGGTTCCGGCGGCACAAATTCCAGCTGGACATAAGGGAAAATACAATTCTCCCYAAGAAGGTGCTGTGGCCCTAGGGGAGGGCTCAGAGAGGTTGTGCAGTCTTCATCCTTGGGGATGAGGAAGACACCAACACGAGGCCCTTCTCATTATCTGAAGYGTTCTGACAGTTGCAAAGAGCACAACAAACATAGCTTAGTGTTGCCATTGGGAAACTTTGGTATCTTAATATCTTAATGTTGCCATTGGGCTCTACACTCCTAAGGACCAATTATAGATGCACACTATAGCTCAGTAAAGAACCTGCTGAGGGAAACCAGCACATTATCACGTGGGATCTCACTACCTATCAACAGCAGCAGAGCTTGTCTGCAGATCTCCAACCCTTGGGGAATAACCTTAGGCACAAGCAAGACGTTGGTTCACTTTAATCTCAGCTCCAAATACCACCCAACCAGGATCCTGTTTGCATAACCAGAACGTGGAGAAGAGCAATGAAAGCCAGCACCAGCCATCCTAACCACAGCGTGCAAAGAGGGCTYGAGCACAAGGGAAATAGCTTTACTTTTGGTCTAACAGCAAGCTAAATTGGTCACATAATGATATTGTTTCTCTTCCTTCTAAGTATTCTGATKTTTCCATCTCCAAGTTCACCTTTGGCCACCAACCAGGTCTCCAAACAAGAGCATTCCCCAAATTCCAGAGAAATCAACACCTTAAATCTTCAAAAATGCTGTCAAACAGGACATTGCTGGAAAACTACTTGTAAAGATAATCACTGTTCATCAAAAATGAACAACTCTTGTGTTTTGTTTTGAACAAGAAAGTGTTCAAAAGGACACTTTTCTGGACACTGAAGAGTGTCCAGGCGGTCTCTTCAAAACCCACCTGGACACCACCCTGTGCCACGTGCTCTGGGTGTCYCTGCTCAAGCAGGAAGGTTGGACTAGATGATCTCTAGAGGTCCCTTCCAACCTTGATCATTCTGTGACTCTGTGAGCCGCCTCTCACGGCGCTGCAGTCGCTCCATCGGGGAAGGAGGGCCGGTCCGACGCAACTCAGGCCTTGGCAAGCCCGGCCCCAAGGGGCTTGGGTACCACACTGTCCTAASACAGGACGAAGCCTTGTCAAAAGCAACCAGGAAAATAGGACACAGAGTAGAAAGTATTCTTCGGGGCAAAAAAACAGGGCCATCAACAGTATCATACTGACATATCAACCAGCTGGGAAGGGTGGACAAGGGTGAGAGCATGAGGCAATGAACAARAACTGGAATTTCTTGGCAAAGTTGAAAGACAACTGAAGAACTCAAATCCGTTCAGGCAACAGGCTGCAGATTAAGGCAACGCCATGCAAACTGGAGAGGAAATGGGAAGCTATGTGACAGCTTTAAACCAGCATGAGCGAAGGAAAAAGGAATGGGAGATGGTTACAGGCAGCTCTGCATAGGACTTGGCACAAACACGCGAGGCGGCTGAAAACAAAGGGGATGTTAGCACGGACTGAATGGCCAGCTATAGCCTGGTTGCCACCGTCTCACATGGATCATRGTGCAAAGCACTGGTGTGAAAAATGTAAAGGATGTTGGAGGCCTGTGATGGGTTCAGAGAAGGTGAAGCAAACAACCGTGGCCCAGAAAACCTCACAGGAAGAGATGCTGAATGACTGGGATTATTTTAGGAAGCAGATGAATGGAAGGAAAAAAATAAAAGGCTATGAAACACTGAATGGCCTAGAGAAAGTAGGTTAGCAGTGTGTGGTGCTCCTTGGTGAGCATTTTGAGCCCAGCAGACTTCACAAAGTAGGATGTGGCTGAGGAGCGTCCTGCCTCCGGGCCCTCTGGAGCAGGAACCGCACGCCACGTCTGCGGAGCCGAAYGCAGAGCTGCTGGGGACAAGGAGGCTCCGTTGGGCTGCAAGACCTCTAGTTCCGGTTGGGATCTGCCCCCCACAGATCTCAAATTTGCTGCTTTGTGGAATTCGTTTCCAAATATATTAACTTCAAGAAGAGCCTCACAATGCGGCCTGCTCACTGCCATGATCCCTCCCGACGCATCCATCTCCCAAGCACCATGTCCTTCCTCTCCTTCCCCAGCGCTTCCAGCTCCATCCCCAACCCTACACGATGGAGAACTCTGCTGCCCCGGTCCCATTTGCAGGCCAGAACTCACGCTAATAAACATCAAAGTCCTTAAAGAGCAGAGGAACCAGCTCTATACAGAAACCTTCGGACTGGGAAGAGTGCCCTGGTTTTGCACAGCAATAAAAAACTGCAATAGCCCCGTGTGAGCGTGCTTCAAATTCCCCTTCTTCCTTATGTTTCCCTCCCAGTTTGGTGCTCACACTGAGCAACAAATCCATCTGACGAGCCGAAGAGACGCAGGGACGGGGATGGGCAGCAGCGCGGCAGATCCGCCCTGCCCGGGAACTCGTGGCCTCCCCTTCTTCCTCAGCAGTCGCTTTGCTTCAGGTGTCCCCTCATCCACGGCACGTTGCCCCGAGCACCACACGCTGTGGCTGTAGTGGGAACATGAGCCCCTCTTCACGGGGGGCTCTCACATTGGGAACCAGGCGCAGAAAAGATGAGACTAACGGCGYGAGCAAATGCCATTATTCTCCATTTTTGCAGGAGTAGAGACAGGCCTTCTGTTCTCAGATACATTTTATCCCCTCCCAGTGAAAAGTCCTTCCTAGCAATGTGTTCTCCGCACCTTCTGGGCTTTCTTTTATTTATATCGTTGCGGATCCAAACGCAAATTGGTCTTAATTTAGCTATGCGAGTGGCTGATGGGGAAGAATGAGGGTTTYGGTTTTTAGCAGAGAAGGCTCCACGGGCTCCCAGGGCCACGCTGGACGCCACGGCGGGGAGAGGCACCGCACCCGGGCAGAGACGGTCCTTGCAGGGACGCTCAGGGTCACCAAGGACAGCGGGGAAACGCAAAGAAAAGCCTTATTCTGCAAAGGCACAAGCTGCTGTTTCCCAGGTGATGCAAAAGAACACCAATCTGGCGGCACGCATGAAATATGCATCTGCTTTCCCGAGGCAAAAAGTTTGAACGTTTCCTTTGAAAAAAATAAAAAGCATGGGGGAAAAAAAAAGAAAAAGTATTTTTTTTAGGCAGAAAAATAGACAGAAGTGACCTGGTTCTACCTATGCCTACTGCAAGCGGTGGGTCTTCAGAAGACCCCCCATTGGTGGGTCTTCAGAGCCTCTGCATACACCTGCTATAAACAGCAATCCCAAAGTTAGGTCCAAGCAGAGCCGCTTAACTCCTCTTCATCTCCAGCTGTTGATATTAGGGCTCCATGCACTCAGGCTAAAGAAGACGTTACCAGCTGCTATGGGCACTTGGAGGGCAGGTCCCGGCTGCTGAGCTTCTCATTTCTGTCTTGCCTGCACTATAGCAATGTCAATCATGGGCTAAAATAAAACGTGTCTGAAAGCACTTAATGGTTAGTCAATAACTTGTGGTGCTACCTTCACAACAGCCAGCTTCTCTGCAGAAATAGAGAATTTTTAAACACATGAGCTCCAACCTTAGCGGGTGTCTATTTGTGTCGCTGGTACTTTTTCTTTTAATGTCATTTCTACCCAAAGAATGAAGCGTAGAGCGCAAATAGCTGTTTTTTTTTTTTTTAACAGCTGCTGAAAGTCAAATCTTGCTTCCTTGCACAGTGAAATAGAGACATGGGAATTTGTACAAAGGCACTGAAAATGGGTCTGCTACAGGTGCAGGGATAAAACACCCCTCTCAACCTTGCGCGCTCGCTCCAGCGATGCCCTTTTGCCTGGCGCAGGGACCACGTAACGGAAGCAACCGGGTGTTCTGCTCGAGAATCCCCTGAATAAGCTGAATCATGAAAAATATGCTAAAAAAGCACASGGACAACTTTAAAGATCGATGCTTTGCTAAAGCTTATCATTTAGGGGAAGCAAAAAACCCATCTAATAATCACATTTTCACTTCTGTAATTTGCAAATCTTTGCTTCCCAGCAYGAGCCACCTTTCAGCTTAGCAACAAACAGTCCATTTGGCAGCCGTGACAAGCCAGGTTTAGCACACGGGCCCTGACAAACCTTACAGCAGTGGCACAACTGCCTCCCAGGGGCTCTGCGCATCGCGGCAGCTCGCCGGGGCTGGCACCACCCCGGGCACATAACGTGGCAGCATATGGGAGGCGTGAAGGAGGAGGGAACTAAAAGGAATGAGCTTTGTGAACTGGAATTAAAAGAGAAAACTGGGAATGAGAAGAAATTCTCCCTTTCCCACAGTGGCTTTGCCAGCAAACTCAGGCTTAGCATCCCTAATTAAGGAGTCTATATAAATATAGAGGTCTATATAGATATATATCTTTATATTTATATATTTATATATTTATATATTTATATATTTATATATTTATATATTTATATATTTATATATTTATATATTTATATATTTATACATTGTACTTTTTAAAGCACACATGATCAATAAAAGCTTTCCTCACTTCTGCAGGCTCAGAAGGGAATCTATTTTGCAGCAAGTACCATCTCCCCCGCTTGCACACTGCTCTTATTGCCAGAGCGACGGGACAAGGATGCACCCAACCTTGGGTGGGTACAGSATTTTCCAGCACATGGTAACAGGATGTATAGGAACAAGATGCATTCGTGCTCCTTCTCCTGCATTATTCTGCCTACCGCAACTGAAAAGGAACAGCTCCGAAGCATCACAACTTCAAAAACTGAATATTGCATTTTACAGTGACTTCAGTTTGGCTAGAAACATTTGCTTAAATTTCAATGGTAAGTTTCAGCAGGTTGAAATTATATTTTTCCACCAATATGAAACACAAATTCTTTTGTTTTGAGCCTCAAGTGGGAAAAGCAAAATCCTCCTGCAGGACCTCGGCCAAAGGGCCGGCTCACATGCTCCTCCTTTAATCCTAATGCTAATAAGCCAATATTCACTCAAGCCACCCATTCAGTTAGCAAACCACACTCTTCGAGAGGACCTGTTAAAAGTCATCAAATATTCCACTGAAACACGTTCAGAAAGCAATAGGAGATTTCTATTCACACAAATCACTGCTGTATAAATAATTGACTGGGCTACAGCTATCTCAGAAAGTGAGATTTTATGCTGCAAAATGAGTGTTGTTGCTCATGCTAAATATAATATTTGCAAGCAACACCAACAAACAACTATTCTGCACCAACTCCACTTCTGGCACAGTGGAGACTAACTGCAATGGGACATGTTTAGATGTAAAAAGAATGTATGAGTGCTTAGCTTAAAATGCTGGAGAAACAGGGGTCCAGGCCCACCAYTTAATTTTTGTCTACTAGTTTGGTAAAATTCAAAATATCATCTCCTGAAAGGCTTTTAAAAACAGCAGAATCCAGATTAYGACAAACTACCCATAAAAGTTCATACGAGCACATTTTTTAATGAGCCCTTAAAAACATCCAAACCAATTAACCAAAAGCAATCGGCTGTGGAAAAAGTCCAGTGCAAACTGGACACCCAGGTGGCATCCAGCTTCATGCCTCCAAAACGAAGAGGCCAAAGACACCCCAGAATAAAGCAGTCTTTGGTGCCAGAGGTTCAGAGACACCCATCAGTCAAAAATGGTGGATATTTCTTCTTGGAAAAGGTCTRCTTTGAACTCCCAACCTGTACGAGCATCTCCAGCATGGCCCTCTGCTCCACACAGCGCCACCTCAGCCAGGAGGTCCCCAGCCCAGCCAGCCCCACGCTAACTGGTTACCTTGCGGACGTGACACGAGAAGAGGACGTTCATGTACTTGTCCTTCCGCTTCAGCTCGTTGGCGACAGGAGTGAAAGAGCCCGTGTTCTGAGGGTTATCCGGCCTCTGAAAGAGCAAGGACAAGGCAAATTTGCTTCTTGCTCACCAACGTAGCTGTGTTACGTCCTGCCAGGGCCACCAGAGCTGTAGCCGAACAACCTAGTCGGGAGACTTCCTTCACTTTACCTTTAGACTTCACAAAACTTCACAAAACAAAATGGAAGGAGAGAGCAAAAGGAGGTACTAGATCTTACTTASAGAATTTTGCCTTTAGATTACTTCTTAACATCCCTTAATAATGCAGTGTTTCAGTTTTACGTTGACTTCCCTCCTAACGTTGGCTGCTTGAAAAGCCAGGTGCCGAAGTTACTCACAAGCATTTAATGTTACTGCAACACTCCAACTCTGCTCAGTATTCAGAAAAATTAACCGTAGTAGTGTAGAAGTCAAAGAAAAAACCTCTGAAACTCCATAACCCACTTCCCAAGGAAATCTGAACGCGCTTCAACAGTCACGTTCTCAGACTTGGATCCTTCTGGTGGCCTGAACCGTGGGCAACTTCTCTCCTCCCCGTGTGCTCATCTCCGCACTCGCACTCACCAGCGCGATGTAGTTGCCCTCCCACGCTCTCTGCAGGCCAATATCGGCCCTGTGGCCCTTCAGCACTTCCATGGCAGCGACCTTTGCCCTCAGCTGAGGTAGGTCTTTCGGTGGGATGCTCCGGATGAGTTCACTGGCCCTCCATCTGTCAAGAAAAAACAACCCTGAATCACTTCCATAGTCTATAAGACTTATCACAAGGAACATTTTTTCYCCAAATACCAATCCCCAAAATACCATTTTTAGAGAAAATACCATTCCCCACCATCCAGAAAGCTATTACTGGCACTCCTGCCTGCAATGAACCTTTTTCATGCCCAAATCTCGGCTGATCTATAGCCTCATCCTCCTTTCATAGCAAAATTTGGCCGAGCAGTTGGAGCTCAACCAACCGCAACATGAAACACGATGGCCTATTCAGTACTTCACAGCTGGGTTCTTCTTTATAAACAAATGCAAAAAGGCAAGGCGGCCCAACAGGCCAAGGTTGGTCAAAAAGGCCAAGGAAGGCAATGCAATGTTCATCCTGACTACACCTTAGCAAAAAAAAAAAAAAAAAAAAAAAAAAAAAAAATTTGTCTGTTTAAGGGTACCAAAGGCCACAAGTATCTTCATCTTTGAACCTATCAACCAGGTTGATATTCTTCAGGCATTTTTCCAACTTTTCTGAAGCGAGGTAGATGTTCAGCCCCTAGGCCAGGCTGAAAAGACAAAAACATTCTCCTACCTGTGGTAAATTGTCTGAAGGGCCTCTTCAAATCGCCGCAGCACTTTGGGTGGGGTGGGCCACTGCACGTGCTTGCCGTAATCCTTCATTGACCTCACRTTTTGAAAGCGGTGGGCAACTTCATGAATGTAGGACTTCACTTTGTAGCGGCGGTAATACTTGAGTATGGTGAGGGCAGCCCGCGTCCTCCTGTAGCGCAGGCGGGCCAGMGTCCCCCTCCACACCTACGAGACGGAGAAGACACTGTTGGAGCCACGGAAGCTTATACTTCTTCTGGGCTGCTAAACGGTGGGAATACAGCAGTCAGGAAAGGAGGCGACTTTGCCAATTAAATGCAGTGAAAGGATCCTTGAAAAGACACCGTGGTCACCTGTGGATTTAGAAACAAGGGCAAGGCCAACTGACGGCCACAATCGCTGCTTCTCTCCCCAGGCCAGGGCAATCCTTAATCAYCCGGGCGCTCTCAAGCTAACGCGCACGTCCCTGATGAGCTGGAGAAGGACTGAGGTTGCCCTCTAAGACRAGCCACCAAGACGAAGATGGTTAATCCCTCCCCGCAGAATCAAACTGGAAGGGTAACGAGCCTAGGTTCGGCAGGCGCTCCGCTCTGGGCTCTGCTGGAGAGTTTATTCTCACCTTGAGAAACAGCCTACTGATGCCTATCRAGCCTTGTATTTACAGAACAATTAATTAGTTATTTCCAAGACAACGCCAARGGTTCTCTCCACAGCTCTGCTGATTCTGCCGCTTTGGGGCTCTGAGAAGTTATTCGCAGCAAGAAGTGAAGCAGATGCGAGGAGATGCTCTGCTCTCCACACCCCGATTTCAAACATGGGGAATGTTTTCCTCCAACCTCTTTCGGAGCAACCCCTCCTCATCCTCCTTCAGCCTCCCCACCCCTGTCTAAGGCATGTCCTGTTCACACCAAACATGATCCAGACACAGCAGACAAGAGCTGCCCAACCAYGAGGCCGAGACAACCCATCTTTCACTTGCGTTTCAGCGTGACAAGCTGCCTGAGAGTTCGCCACCTCTCACGCTTTCTTCCACATAGCAACCGGTTCCTAAAATAGGACTCCCTCGTCCCACACTCCGTCCCGTTCTGTCTAATGTTTAACACGGTGAAGACCAAATCGCAGCTCCTAAGTTGTGTAAAACTGGGAGGCAGATGAAGCACAGTCCACTCACCAACCACGCGCTGGGTTTTGTTGCTAGGAAGAGGTAGGAGAGGAGGAGGGAATTTATCCTGGGCACCAAAATGCAAGAAATAAAGCAAATAAATAAGCTGGGGAACAAGCTGCACGTGGAGCAGGTTGCTCCTTTAACCACCTCCTGAGGCCAACCAGTGCCAGGATCCCCTCCTCTGATGATTTTCCAAATACCTAAGGCTTACTGAGACTTACAGTGATCTGAAGGCACATCGGATTCGGAAACTGTATGGATTGGACTCAGTCGGCAACTAGGATGGAAGAACTGAGCACCCAACAACCACTGAAGCATCATCTGACTGGTGTCTCTGGTGTTCAGACTTGGATTGCTCAAGACATTTAAACACAGGCTGAAGTGTCACAAAACGTATCTGCAAAGGGCACATGGACACTAAACCATAAGATAAAGGAAAAATGGTCAAAAAATCTGCTATTCAGCTTCTTATCTCCTCATAAGAGCAGTAATGAAGARCAAAGGGATCCAGGTTATAGCCCTACAGTTTTCTGGCTGAACCTGAGAAAATATCACGCAGAGCAAACTGGTGCAAGCTACTGAGGGCTTTGTAGAGCCCAACTTCATCTGTCAGCATATCTCAAAAGGATTTTGTTTTGCTTTTAGATGCAGAACAAAGTCTTAATTTTATCCCCTGGCTCCTGAGGTCTCTTTTGCTGCAGTTAGTTTATTTTTACTGGATTTTCTTCTCTCCCCCAGTCAGACATCTATGGAGCAAGCGCGCTGGAACAGATTGTCCCCACGCTGCATCAGTGGCATCGCGGCGGAAATCAGCTCTGCAGCCAGAACTGCCACAATCGCTACAAAAACTCCCCTTCCAAATCCAATTATCCGGCCGAGGCAGCCCCTTGGCGGCAGCAAACTGGGAAGCATTAATGAAAAGCGCGTTTGCAAATCAAGTTGTCACAACTGCCCAACCTCAATCCTAGTGAGTACCAACCTCATCACCAAAGCAGTGGCATCTCCCAAACACCAGAAGTAGGAAAACAAAGCTGGAGAAAAATTTCTCCCGGGGAACAAGGCACTAGTTTAAATTTATTGTTTTCCTGGCGTTGGAGGTGGGTTTTGTTATTTTTTCCCCTCCTTCAAAGCGAGGGCTCATCTCTGCTTCAGAGGGCCCATCCACAGTGCTGGGCCTGCCAAGGCGAGCAGACTGCCTGATGCTCTTCCAGAAACACGGACCCTTCGGAGCTGCAAACAAGAGCAAGCTGTCAAGGCAACAAACCCCTCGCTCGGCAGCCGCTCGGTAAACCCAGCAGCACCAAGCTCAGAGCCAGGGGTTAGAGCTACGGCGAGGACGCTGGCGTGTTTTCTACCAACACACACCCTCCTGAGACCTAAATATTGAGAGATCTCTACAGACTGCGCCTACCAAATTCCTTCCCCGCTGCTGTAGGTCCATCACTCCAAAGCACTGCCCATTGCCCATTACATTTAATCAATCAGATGCCCTGAGCCGAGTTTTTCACGGCATCTAATTGACATTATATGCAGGTTCTCACATTGCAAAAGCTCATCCTGAGCTGAAGCCAGAGGTACCCACCAGCAAGCTGGTGGTTGAGCTGCACCTAGCAAATGTTGCAAGGACAAGTCTGGGAAAGACATTGCTCCTTCTGCAGCCAATAAACACACTTGCTGTGCTACCTTTTTGTGGCTTTAACATCTGGTTTTACCTGATTTCCCAAAGAAATGGGAACCCTTCCCCCTTCCTGACTATCCATGAGTGCCCTGATATCTCCTCAATTTCTAGGCATCTTCATTCAAATCGGAAAGAGGAACAGAAGACCCAAAGAGATGAAGTCTCTACCTCTTTCCAGGAAAAATCAGCAGCAGGGTAGAAAGAACCCTGGATTAGAGTTACARGGTTGGAAAAGCTTCAGAAGCAGCTTGTGAGCCATCTGTTCTGTTTGATCTCCACGTCCCAACCAGCTCATGCCTAGCCAGGCAGAGCCTGGGTGGCCAAGCCAAGCAGAGGATCCCAGGAGGAGCTGACAGCAGTGCAGGGCGAGGAGGAAGCAGGGATGTCCTCAAGGAGCACGGGAAGGCGTGGAGGATGTGATGGGCAAGACTGGAAGTCCTGGCAGTGAGGCGCTCTCAGGATCACACCTGTGTCCATGGCTCTTGTGGGATGTCAGGGACGTCGGACAAACCCATAGAGAGCCACGTTTGGGGAAGAGCTGGTCTGGCGACAGTCTGCAAAGCGACACGCCAAAGAGTGGCCTCAAAAGCAACTGCTTTGGTTATCAATTACTGCAGCACCAAGGGACTAAGTGAGGAGAAGAGCCCTTGAGCAGGACACAACGAAGCAGATTGTCCTTTGCAAGAGAAGCTGCCCAAGCAGATGGGGCAGAGGTAGAGGGTGAATGGGAAAGGAGACCTCAAGCAAGAAGAGAAGAGCAAAGCCTTCTCTTCTTGCAGGGGCTAAGTCAAAATGGAAAGAGAAGCAGAATGTCCAGGCTTTTGTTCCAACGTTTTCCCCTMTCTCCTCCTTACCTTCAGTCTCTCCACATCTCTCAGCACTTCTCCTCTGGGCTAGGTAAGGACAGACTAAGAGCAGAAGGGAAACAATGACTAAAAGACTAGGAGGATGGGCAGAGAGAAAGGAAGCCGTTGGTGAAAGGACATCCGAGCACCATGAGAATCCAGGCAAAACCTCTCCTTTTATGACCCCGGAATTGGGCTTGCACAAAGAGTGTGCCCACTGAAACCAGAAGTCATAGCATATTTTATCTTATGGGAAATACTGAAATCTTCTCTGAAGTATGTTTTCCATACACACTTTTTGTTTAAAAATTAATGAAGTAAAAGGCAAATGAGTAAAGAAAAAAAAAAGGACATGTGGACATGCCTTTAAAGTCAACTTAAAAATTCAATGAGCTTCCAAAATTTCTAAGATTAAATAACCTTTGATCTATAGATCAAGTCCATCATCTTTGCAGAAAAATCTGTGCAGTGCAGTAAATATTCTGAGCTCATCTTCAGACTGCAGCCTCCTTGTAAGCTCAGAAATTCCTGTAAAACAAATTTTAAATAAATTTTAAAGGAAARGAGGGGTAGAAAGGCCTTGTAGAGGAGGGAAAAGCAGCGGATGAGGTGGGCTGGGGCCAGAATGGTGAGAACGCCTCGCTCATAGTTCTTCCATAGCAAAAAAGCACAGGATAATCTAGGTTTGACCTAGATGCTGCAGGCTCTTTGAATTCAGAAGCAAACCTCCCCAGCATGCAAGGTGGACTTCTACACAAGCAAATAAATGCACATAATTCAGAAAATAAAGCGAGTCCTTCTAAATTAGGCACTAACACTCAAAATACATATATTTTTTGAGCAGCTCCGCTGCTAACTGAACCCGGCAACCTATTTCCCGCTGGCTGCAGCCTCCCGCTCCTCGCGGTCGGCCTCCTTCACACCCGCCTGAACCGCTGCACGATCAATGTTCCCTGGGGCGAGCCGCCCCCGGGCATCCCAGTTGCAGGGAACAGACGAGCAGCGCGCTGGAGACTGGCACAGGCGGCAGCCGCCCCGCGCGGCCGCGGAGCACCCCGAGCGGGCACGTTGCAGCCGCTGAGGCGGGCGGCGCAGCGCCGGGGCCGCCAAGCCTGCCGCAAACGCCCCGTCCCGAGGCCGGTTTGCGTGGCGCTCTTCCCGCTCGCTCTGGGAAGGGGTTGGCGCCGGCAGGGCACGGCCGTGCCGGGGTGGCTCATACCCATACGGAGCGTCCTGCGGGGCCTCCAGACCAGCCAGGCTGAGAACCGCAGGTGAAGCGAGCTCAGATCTGGTGCAAGGGTCGAGGTCTCCGAGGGCTCACGGGCCGCGCAAACAGCAAGAGGAGCTGCTTAATCAACACAGCACCAACTTCTGCCTTTTTGCAGGAGTCAGATAATAAACAGTCACTGATTCTGGACACACACGAGTGGCACCAATGATGCCCACGTGGGTACACACGAAATAAGAGCCAAAGAGCTGGCACGGGTCCTGCTGCAGTGCACCCAGCAGCTTCACTGAGCACCACGCAGCTCCTCGGGTCCATCTGCCTCCAGGAYGGAGCCCAATCTCAGTTTTAAAACGTTCTCAGCCTGAAAACCTCCAGGGACGCCTTCACCTTCTGCTTGTCTGGCCGTGCCACATCCAGGCGAGGCACATCCAGCTTCCTGGCTGCTCTCCAAAGAAATTCCTGCCAGGGACAGAAGATGCTGGGAGAAGGGAGATGCCCTGGATGGACAGAGGAAGAGAAGAACAAAGTCTCCTCTGCTAAGGGAACAGAGAAGCTGCTGCCCTAAGGACAAGGCTGGACAAGCTTCTTCCATCCCATGAGAATTCACAGCACTGGTTTTCATGCTTAAGGAATCAAAACACACATCATTTCCTCATCTTCAGTGTTTTTTGCCCTGGTAAAGACTGCTAGGACAACAAAAAACTCCCATCACAGGGCAATGAAATAAGCTGAGCGGTGCAACTCCTTGTCAAAGGAGGCTACAAAGCCCAAAGGCCAATGTCACGTCTTTGAAGACAAGTTCAGGGGAAACACATCCACTTGGTGTTACCAACCACAAGGAAAACCCACCCAGCCTGGGTCAACCCACRCGTAGAGGGGCTAAAAGGGCCAGGGACGCGGAGGAGGAGCCCGACGGGCGCTCGCCCCGCTGCAGCCRCGGCGGCGGTTCGGGGCTGGCGCGGTCAGGGCTCTGCGCACGCGTCCGGAGCCGTCGAGGGCTTCACCGGGAGAAAGAGCACAGGGAAAAGAGCCACGTGTCGCTGCAGCTCCTTGTGTCGCTGCAGCTCCTTGTGTCGACCCTTCTTTAAGGGCCCCTGACGGAGGAGCCGCTTATTCCCCACTGCAGGAAAGAGAAGGTTAACTCTGATTTACTGCAGTGGCCCCTTGGAAAGGCTCCCTGCCCACAAATCACCGCTTCTTTCCCTTGGTCCAGGCACTGCTTAGGGCATCCTGGTGTTTTCACTGTCCTGGCAAATTCAGACCCTTCTCAAGGCAAGGTGGCCAAGTACTGTGCCTGCTTGGTTGCACTTTCATTAAAATACACAGCACTGGCACCCTTTCTGTCATGCACACGCGCCTGCAAGAGATGTGGAGATGCTGCAGATCAGGAGCTTTTCAAAAAGGAAAGTGGGAAGGATTTCCCTGCCATGGAAACGCGTGTTTCCGAGCTGTTCCGTTCCACGAAACTGCGTTTTTTGGAGCCAGACATGATTCAGAAGCTGCTGTTTGCAGCAGTGTCCATGCACACGTCCCAATGCACCGACGTGCACTCCATGCCAAGCACCAGGGCACACGCCAAGGACGGTAAACGCCTCGCGCCGGGGCGGGATCCGCGTCGCATSCCCTTCTAGCAGGGTCCCCGACCAGGAGCCCCCACCAGAGGGATCGGGGAGCCCTCGGGAAAATGCCTCCTCCAGTGGCACGCGCGTCCTCGCCCGCCAAGCTCACGGACCCCGGGGACACGAAGGAAGGGAAGGTGAACCCCTAAATTAGGACAAGCCAAGCGGCCGGGCTCTCTGTGCCTGTTCCTGGCTGAGGGTTGGCCAGTGTTGCCAGGGAGACAACAGCCGCAGGGGTGCGAGTGACGGCGCAGGGTGTGAGTGACGGCACAGGGGTGTCAGTGACGGCTCACGCCAGAGGAGGGTCTGCGACCCACAACGCTGGGAGCGAGGGGAAAAACCACCCCGTGAGCGCAGGGCGAGCGGCRCCGCGGGAGCCTTAGTGCACCCAGGGGCGTCCCAAAGCCACCGCGGCCTCCGCCCCATCCCACGTGTCTGCTGGTTTGGGAGAACTCCCATGCATGGGTATTTTTGGCCCACGTCGTTGGAGGCTGCAACGATTTGCTGCATTAAGCACTAAAAATTGAGCGCTGTGATTGCCACGTGCAGCTGCGCCCGGCCGCTAAAGCCGCCCCGGAATAACGTGCTCAATGACAGTGCAAGCGGCTGCACCGCTGCCCGCTGCCCGCGCCGCCGCTCCCGACCGGCCCTGCTCCGCGCGGGAATGCAGCCGCGCGCAGCCGAGCACAGCGGCTGCATGGCAGCTTCCGATAAAGAGGGAGCGAAATAACATCACATCCTCGAGAGGCTCCGTTCGCATTCGCCACCACGGCAAGACCCAAGGTGCGGTGAACCCGACTCAGCGCAGCCCAGGAACAGGAACAGGAGGGATGATCCCAACCAGCGCTTCTAAAACCAGATGTTGCCCGGGCAGCGATTTCTCRGCTGAGTTTTCTAAGCTGAAGCAAATGGCAAAATTCCCCCAGAGCCAACCAGTTGCTCCAGTTAAGCTGCATCTCATCTGCTTACCGGCTTGGTTCAACCCTAGGTAAAATTTCAGTTTCCACTAATTTTCCACTAATATTTTATCACCAGAAAGTGGGGAGAGTTGAAGGCAGTACTAGAGGAGAAGGCAGCTGGGAGTTGCGCCACAAAAAGAAAACCAAATTATCTCTTACATTGGAAGCTGGTTTCATTCAGTGGAAGCAAATTAATACAAAGCAAATTCTTGCCATTTATTAAGCCCCCAAACGAGCATTAATTTAAGGGTTAAAAGCGACACGCGAGACGAAGCTCCGAGGATAATTACCAAATCTCCTTTGGAAAGCCTTTTGTTTTGCATGACAGCAATAAACCACTTAATGTCGGTAATTAGAAATGAGGAGAGGTGCGTTTAAAGCGACCAAGGAGCAGAACTGCGACGAGCTGCCTCTTCCTTCATTTACCAGCTTTGCTGTGCAAAGAAAATGATTTCTGGATCCCAGCCTGCTTTTCAGTCTAACACCTAATTTCCCCCCATTTCTTTTAATCCCACCTGCTCCTCCTGTCACAACAACCTGCTTTCACCTCCCCTTGTCTTTTCCTTTGCTAAATTGGGCAATGCAACAAAAGGCTGAAGGATCTGCCAAAAGAGGCTCACATCTCCCTTCGCTTCCAGATTTAACCTGGCGCCCCTCGGGAGTGTCCGTTCGTCGCCGCCAGCCTCCGCTCACAGGCGAAGCAGAGCCGGAGGAGCAGCAGGGAACGTTCGSCGGGCACCGGGAGCGCGGCCGCCCAAACTGCCTGCGTGTTTCCAGCGGCGAGGAGGCTCCCCGGGCCCAGGGGCACGTGCTCATTTGTCTCTCCTTCCCCGCATTGTGTCGCTTGTGCTTCTCGGGCACCGCGGTCGGCACGCGCCCCATCTACTGGTGCATTCGCACAGGAGCCGTCTGCAGTGCAAAGGCACTGGGAAACGCCGGGGGAAAATGCCAGAAATGCAGAAATGGAAGGGAACGGCGTGAGAAAACCGCAAGTGTTTTTACTGCAGACTCCGCATGCTGCAAAGTAATTCATTGCACACCTATGAACATCAGTCCAGTTTCCACCACGAGCTCCAGCTCATGCTCTTGGGGCCATGAGCAGCTACACGTTCCTGGGTTTTGTCTGTTGCTGCAAGTCCATGACCCGTCGAAGAGCCCTTCCCATCACTCCGTGAGCATTTCCGAGCAGGCAGAAGGGCCCCAGCACGCACAGAGCCCCGGCGGAACCGCAGCGGGGGCCGAGCTGCCTTTGGAGAGTTAGCTCTGCAGCAGCCTGGGCACTTCAGAAGGAGCTTCAGCAGGTCTCTCTCCAGCTTCAGAAAGTCTCTTCCCTATGGACCTTCAGCAGAACCTCACCAGAGGGTCCTTGGATAGAAGACACAAAAAGAGGACTCCAGTTGTCCCATGYCAGTATTTTGTGCAGAAGAGAGAGTCGCCTCCAGAGACACGTGTTGGTCCTTATCTTCACAGGGACATGGGGAAACTAGGGGAGGGAGGTTGGTGGGCCACATGCTGCACAGCAGCTATCTACCAGATGCACTCCAGAGCCAGGGAGCCGATCCATCACGTCCTGCTCRCGTTACCTTCACGTTGCTCCAAATCTGTGCACAGCAGATTTTACCTGAAGCTTCAGGAGCTTCCTTTTGCAGTGAGAAAGTGCCTGCTTCCCCAGCACTTCTGCATTTTTCCTTCATTAACTTCACCTTTTAATTTCAGAAGAGGTCACCCCTCCCTTCCTCAGACACTCAGTACAAAAACTCAGGTCCCTTGGGAGCTGTAACTCTCCTGGCCTCGAACCTGCAAACTCCAGCGTCGTTGTTACAACAGGTTTCATGGGGAACGTCACCACTGGTGTGCAAATCTCCTCTTCTTCCTTTCTTTCCCTCCCTTTCCTTCAGTTGTAGCCTCTCTTTCACATTAGGGGAGCCTATAAAGTACATGCAAAAGCTCCATAGGAGTCAGGATGTCGTACCCACCCCCAAATAACGTATCCAAACAGCACTAACTGAACCAAAAGAGCATCCAAAGAGCTTGGGCAGTCCTGATGAAATGCACACAATTATTGTGGGACATGGATGACAGGGAGACCACTTGGTGGAGGACACCAMAGCAGGATGCTCATCGGCAGATCCCGTCGCTTCTCTTCCTCTCCGGCTTCTCAGGAGTTGCCTCTTTTCCTCCTCTCAATCTCTCTTTCTCTCTCTCCTTCTCCCTTGTCCCCAAAGTTTCAACATTGCAGTCAATGTACGCCATCAGTGACGGACCCATGGATAAACCTTCATGCACGCAAGCTTGTCTCCACACCCGTTGGGAACAGCCTTCTACTTTTACCAAAAAGGATCCTTTATGTTTCTCCATGACCTACTCTTACTGAGCAAACAGCAAGCTTTATACAGACATTCAAGGCTCTACAGATCACAGCATATCAACCCCCATTAAGGCTCCTGTGCAGCCACAGATCACTACTGAAAGAGCTCTAAAACAAAGGGAAAACATTCAAACGAGCACAGTGCAGCAGCAATCAAACTGCAGTTCAATTTGAGCAAAATTGTCACTTGCAAGCAAGCCTGAAAAGGGAACAAAGGTGTTTTATGGAGCTCAGACTGAGTTTTACCTTCTGGAGGAAGAGGACGATCCTCACCAGCATCTTGGCATGCAGTTCCTCCAGGGTGAAGAGTGTCCGCGGCGTGCGGATGAAGATCTTGGTCTTCCCATAGGCGACGTCGTGCTGAAACCCGCAGCACTCTATGAGCTTCTTCACGGCATCTTTGTCTGACGGGAGGTCGTGGTTTGGCCAAGTGAATTCCGAGATCATCTTGTACCTGGAATTACACAGAAATGTAAATCTGTCATCTATATTCTCAAGAGGTCAACCCTTCAACATTATTTTAGAAATCCTTATAATTTCTCATAAAACCAACTCCTGGGGGAAGAACTGAGGTGCTGTGTGGGAAAATCCCAAAGGAAGGGGAAAGGAATGTAAGAAAGGCTCAGTTTTTGAGACACSACCATCCCTCGCTTCATCACGGCACAACAGATGCAACACACTTAAGTCTCACTATTAGTTTCCTGGAGATTTGGCCATTCCATTACTAATTCTTAGCATTCAACATAAAATAATTTGCAAGGAGGGAAAGTTTGGGGGTTGCTTATCCTCTGTGTCAGAAGTCAACGAACCGTTCAGTCAGAAAACGTAGACATTAAAAATCCCAAAATAATGTTTTTGATCATCTTTTGTATCATTTTGAATGAATTTCCTTATTTTCCACAGACATACAAAGATCAATGTTTATAGGGGCCATTCAATCATTCCCTCTTGTCTGGACTTTCCAAACCTCTTTTCATAGGAAAAAAAGAATGTGCAGGTTTGAACTAACAGAATACGAACCAAACATCAAAATAACGACATCAGACTCTGCTCTCCATAAGATTTACTGCCCTTGCAAAGTGCTGAATGGCTGAATGGATTCTTGCAAATAGCAGTGATGAATTTTCTGCATGCGATTTATGGACACAATCAAAAACATAATAGACATTTTCACTGTAATATTATCCATATTCATATCCTAAATAAAACGTGCAGGCAGCAATCTCAGCCACTTCTCCATTTAAAAGCCTACAATCAGAGGCGAGCATCAATCTCAATGCCTCAGATATTCAGATTTTTTTTCAAAATCTTCAGCTAGAATTCAATGCCCAAAACAACAAACCTTTATAGGCAGAGCGGCGAGGCTAAAAAAAGGAATTACTCCACACCCAGAAATACGGGTCAACRGAAATATATCAAACTGTCACTTTAATTCATCAAATTAACCTTTCCAAACAAGCCTTTGACGGGGGRGAGGGCAATGGAGCTGTACACACGGTATCTGCACAGGACACACTGTCAGCTCCGGGGTTACAGCAGGCAGACGAGAGATCGGCCTGATAAATAAAACAGGCAGATATATATGCACAAAAAAAGCCTCCGACTCACGGCAGGAGACGCGGCGTTTATTCTCGGCTGGCAGCAGCACTGCCTCTCCCGAATACACACGGGACATAAATATTTTACACAGATATCAAAACCCTTTCACTGGTTTCTCTCTCTCTCCTATTCTTAGCAGGAAAATGTTCCTCCGATAATTAATTTATCGGGCTCTGCGTAGCAAAATCTTCCACGGTCGGATATTTGGAGGAGAAGAAAGAAGGCAACCAGGCTGGCAATGCAGACCCACCTTCTCTCAGGCAAAGCTGCTCAGTCCAGAGGCCATGCAAATCGGACAAAAACTGCCCGGGAAAAGAGATTCCAAAATCTCCTCCTTTCCAATAAAACAGGGCACTGTTATCTAAAGATTGGCCAAGCCACCCCGGCCACGTCCCTCGCGGCCCACGCGTGCTGGGACGGGTGGACACGCTGGACACGCGCAGGGCAACGCTGCAAACTCCTTCCCTGGAGCGGCGAGCGTGACCGGGGTGCCGCAACAAGTCCGAATCCCAACCTCGTGGCTAATTATAGGGAGGCCGAACCCAAAATAAACCTGCTTGCTGACAGCACAACCCTTCCCTTTTGCCCCAAGATGCCAGCAGCTTTCAAGGTCATCCATACATTAAGCATCCTCTGGCACGCTGCCTTCACTTCTCCTCTCCACCGAGCTGTGGAAACCCTTGAGGTGCCCCAGGTCGCTCCTCCAGCTCACGATTCCCAGCACCGCTCTCCCAAAATCGAGAGCCTCCACTGAAAAATCGGGGCTCTGCACGTGAGGTCACCTCATACCTTCCTTTCACCGCCGTTCTGCTCGCGGGTATCTTGCTGTTGTGCTCAGGCTATGTTTAACAATGCCTTAAAATAGGCATGTGGATGCCTTGGGAGAGGAAGGGCTGGATTACATTCCCATGCACACACGGCCGTGGGGGCCTCACAGGCGCCGTTGTCCTCCCCGTTCCCATATCTGCTCAGTGTTGCTTCTCCGTGGTGAGCTTCACACTAAGCCAAACACACACTACACATTGGTGGTGTTTTTGTGCTCTAGTCCATCCGGACCTGTGTTCCCAACGCACGTTTTGCCTTGTTCAAAGATGTACTTTACCAAGGGAATGAGAAGCATCTCTTGGYTCACCAGAAAATATATTTAGATCTTATTTCCCACCAATTGATTTAAGAGCAGATTGGTTTATTTAACACTTTCTTACGCRGGGCTCAAGCACAAATCTTCTCAAGTACAAGGAAACGTTGATGAGGACATTCGTTAAGGGCTTTAACTGAGCTCGACATCATTTCCTCCTGTTCAATATGGACTCGTTTATAGCGCTTGGAGCTAAAGAACACCAAAATCTTTGTTTTCCTACAGAAAGAAAAAGTGGCATACAAATCAAGTATATATAAAAGTATATAAGTGTATGTCTAAGTATGTACAAATCTCTCCCCTTGCCATCAAAAGAGGGATCAGCAAAACATCAGACAACCGCATTTGAGGGGGCGGACGCCAGATCTCCTGGGCGCTCCTGGAGGAGAAGCCAAGGGCTGGTCAGCCTGGGCAGCGGGACAGCTGCGACGGGCTCCCTCGAGGCCCGGACTGACTAAACCTTGGGCGAGACTTCTCCCTCTTGACCAGCGGTCTCTAAGGGCTTTGGACAACTGTTGGCAGGACTGAGTTTTTATGAAAACTTTCCCAAATACAAGCAAACCAATGACGTTGGGTTGTGTCCTTAAAATCATCTCTYCCCAAATCCAGAGCTGAAGGGCCTGGATGCCTCTGCCGTGCTCTCTGTCTGTCATACAGCTGTCACCAAACGGGAATGAGGAAAGGAAAGGAAATCCCTTGTGATTCCTGCCCAGAAGCCATCTCCTAAAATGCGTGGTTCATCCCAAAATTCACATTCGCCCAGCACCTTTAGAGAGGTGAGTCTCTCCCAAGGCGGAGGAACAAAGCATTGAGCCTCAGGAAAAGGAAAAAATAAGAAAGATGTCAAGGGACAGAGCAGATTTTTTTTTTTTTTTTTTAAGATTTAGAAAATTTAAAGGAAACTGAACTCAACTGCGAGCGATCCTGTGCCCCGCGACTCCACCACTTGATGCCTTGCACCTTAGACTTTTAATCCCACTGCAGGATTCTGCCACTGAGACAAGACCACCGGGTGCAAGGGCCGTACCAGGCGCCACGCGCTAACCTGCTTTGCTGCCTGCTCCCCCCTCTGCTCTCAAGCTTTCGGGATCTCCTCAAACATTCATTAAAAACAAAGCAGCTCTTTATATTAAGAGGCATTATGCCAACGTTAGGAGTACGGTGCAACACACCCCACCGGCGAGGGCAGCGCAAACCCTAATCTCTGCGTAGCCATGAGACAATCCCTATCCAAAACGTTTCACTTGGCACAAGCCTGCTAGGAACAAAGAGGGCAGAAGTATCAAAAACGTTTGCATGGGCTCAAGTTGTTWTCTCTTCTTCAGTCCTGGAAGCGCGACGTTGCCTCCTGCACACCCRTAGCGGCCCATGCAGCAGCACGCGCTGCCCGGACGCCCAGCGTCCATCTGTCCCTCTCCCTGCAACAATTAGACAGTATTCAAGGGGAAGCTAATTAGTTCCAGTCTTAGGATTACGCTCTGGAGATGATCCTCCTTGCATRTTCATTCTGAAGAGATTAAGACAGCGAGGGAGTCGTGGCCTGAAGAGGTCCTGTGTGTTTGAGGACCAAGAAAGCACCACAAATGTGTCTGCGGCCACAAAATGAGAGGGCAACCAGAGKCCTTGTTAGATTCGTGTTTTATTCTACCCAGCAGTCGATATTAAAAAACACAACAGCAACAACAACAACAAGCCCCCATTACCTATGTTCCCGCTTTACCCATGATCAAAAGCAAGCACCACAAACCCAGAGGATTCAGGACTTGCTCGCTCCTCCACAGGAAGATGCCCAAACGCCCCCGCTCCCTCAGCTCTCCCAGCTGACCTGCTCAGAGCTGAACTCGGTCGCTCCCAGCACCCTTCTTACCTGTGAAGGAACTTCTCGTACGTTTGGCGGTAGGCAAATCCTGCRCGACGGACTCTCACGTTCTCCAGAAGACCAAGGTACTCGACCTGATGCCTGCAACGCTCCTCGTCAAAGAGCTGTGGAGACTTCTTATCGTTGGGCTTAATGCAACGGACGTAATAGGGTTCCTAAGGACACAAARTAGGGGTCTCACTCAGAAGGAAAAGGTCTGCACAGAAGCAACTGTTTCTAGTTGAAAGAAATTAAAATGTCCATCCACCTTAGTCATTTGAAGGAGGTTTGAATTATAAAGGAATTATAAAGTTGGAACAGAAGAGACTGAAGAAGGCTCATGACATGTTCCTCCTCTTAGCAGTCCGYAGCAAGGTCTACCACACAGTGAATGTTACTCATTGGAGTTAAACTGTCCTTTTTTCTGCAATACATCAAAATCGGATTCACATCCCCCTTCTCTGTGGCCTTTGATGACAGCAGAGAGCGTGTTCATAAAAGACCCAGCAAAACACTACAAARGAATTAGCCTGATGATAAAATGAGTTTTTCCAAATATCAGCCTCTAAACAAAGGCCTAAATTGCTCTATTAACTTTAAAATATGCTGACTGCAGTTCTTCTTATGGCTCTTGAGTGATAGAAACCCATAAAAACTACATAGCACTGGGCAAAACCCAGGGACCTTGCAGCCCAGCCATCAAAAGCAACTCCGCTTCTGTGAGCCCTGMTGTGGGACCAACGCAACCTGCACGAGCTCCTCCTAGGCCCTAGCCTGGCCTTGATGCTGACAACGGGGTCGGGGCCTTTGCTGCGTGGTCCTCCTCCGCGTCAACTGGGTTGACATGAGCGAGCKAAGGTCAGAGTCCCCCAGGGCTGCATGAGGTCAGTCCCAGACATGGTTCCCCTGTCAGGGGTTTTTTGCTTTTGATGTTTAATTTTTGAGATTAAAGGCAACTTTCATTTATGCATATTTCTATATAAATATAGACAGAATTATACACACATACACTTATAAAATGTCATCAGTACTTGCTTGCTATAATTATTTTCAACCAAAAGTAGTTCCATCATGCTGGGTTTTGAAGTTCATCCACTTCCTTCTTTTCATTATTAGCCCTTCTTATCTCACATCTGGCTTCGTTGGAAAGAAAAGTGACGACGAAGCTTCAAAAAGGGTCAACGGGCCCACACTTCAGTTTTTCAAGGGGTAATTCTGTTTTCATAATATTAACATATTATTTTCTAAAAGACTTCTGCAAAAGGAGAGGGATATTCTGCAGGCTGGCAGCCGCCAGTGCCAAGCAGAGAACTCAAATGAGGATCCTCACCMGCTCTTTCAGGTCTTCCAGGCCATGGAGGTTGCTTCCGAGGTCACGTTAAGGATGGGTCAACACTCAAGCTTTCAAAATTAAGGCAAGGCTAGCATTAAGACAACGAGAGATTAGCTGTCTGAAATCTTAATATGAGTAAGCCTAAAATTTCATGATCAAGTCTGATAATCAGACTCAAATCAGAAATGAAGTTTCAGAAATTTCCTCCTGGTCTAAAAGGAGCTGCAGAATCACACGAAAAACCACTATCAGAGTAAGCAGCGGGCCCTCAAGATGCAGGGCTATACCCTGGATGCTCCACAAGAGCCTGGTCTGGGTCCCATGCTACCCCACAGCTTTGTTGCTGGTTTGGACGAAGGAAGAGCGTGTTTATACTGGATCTGCGGGCAACGTTTTCGGAGCGCAAGGTCAAAGTGTGAAACTGCTTTGACAAATGGGAGAAGTGGTCTGGAAAAAAAATGGCATGAACTCAACAAGGATACATGCAAAGCTCTACATTTAGACAGAAAAAATGAGGGGGAAAAAAAAAAGAAGAAAAAAAAAGAAAATTTCCCAATTAGACACTAGAGCTAAAAAAAAAAAAATCTAGAAGTCCTAGTTGAACATGTGTCAAGCTCATGCTTTTCTAACAAAGGAGCATATGAACAAGAAAACTTTGTGTAAGGAATGAAAAATCCACAGATTTCTACCTCTCTGAACACAGCACGTAGGTCGGGCCCTGCAAACTGAGGTGAGCCAGTTCAGAGCAGGGTAATGGCCAGAACAGCTAGAAAACACGACATAAAGACAAGCGGGTTTTAGTCTACAAGGACACATCATCACCCCGGTTATTGTTATATTATATATATGTAAACAGATAGGAAGAGAAACAAATGTTTTAGGACGCAGAACGCTTGGGTTTAACTACACTGTAGAGATTCAAATCGGACATGAGGAGAGTCAGGAATGGGAACACGAAGCTTATGGAAAGGAGGGGAACCTCCCTCCCTGGAGACAAGCTTGTCCCTAGTCTGGACAAGCATCCGTATCAAAGAGATGTAGGCAGCCGTGTCCTCAAACAGGGGCTGAACTAGATGCATTCCCCACGGTCCCCTTTAGCCCTGTTTTTCCGTGATTTGTAGGTCACTGTCCTAAACTTAGGATAACACAAGGCTCCAAATTGCTATTTTTCCCTTCAATAATGCTGAGGAAACGAGATCATCCTTGAATATCTTGGGTAGTTCTGCCATGACCTGGAGGAATGCAGCATTAAYGACAGGCAAGTGGAGCCTCCACGACGCTAACAAAGATGAACAGGCTGAAATGCAGAAGCCTTGGAATAACAGAGCCCTAAACCCGGGGAAGTGATGCAAGACCCTGGATTTTGGGGGGAGAAGGCGCTGGATTGCAGCATTGCCTGCATGCTCAAGGATGAGACCCACAGCCTCAGGCCTTTCTCCTGGGTGGCTGTTGGTGGGACAGGAACGCGCGGGTGGAAAAGGGCAGTGGCAGCCAGCAAAACGGAGCCCCAGGAGCCATCCACGAGCTGGCAGCACCACGTTGTGCYGAGCCCTTCGTGCAGCGGCCCTGGAGGATGCTGAAGGGCTGCGCTGGCCAGGAGAGACGCAAAGCTGCTGCTGGGGGCAACGTAAATCACGCACTGTTTCCCTTCTTGCTGAGAGGGAGCATGCCGGGCTGCGGGGACGGCTCCTCAGCATTGCTTGGCTCCCGTCCTTCCTATTCCCAGGAACTGGCTGAGCTCTCTGGAAAGGCAATTCTAGGATTTTAAAAGAAATTCATGCTTCACCTTCCTTGGCTTTCTCCTGAAAGGCCTCTCTGGGCTTAAAGCAGAAGGCAACAAGGGTCTCAGTGGTCTCCGACCACCTCCCCGAAGAGGCAACCCGCAGGGGTGACAACTTCACCTGGAGAAATCCATTGTGGTGCAGGAACACACTGGTCACCTGAGCCCTCCAAACCCCTTCCAGACAGGACATCATCGGCCAAGCCTCGAAGGTCAGAGCAGCCTCTGGGAACTCAACCCCCATTTCATTTTGCATTAGGAGTCACAGCAGAAGCCTGGTTGGATGTGCTCAGAGCAGTTACTATTGATGAGCGGCAGCAGTTTGCTGGACCTGATAGCAGCAGCTGATAATCTCTGCACCATAATCTCTGAGTGGTCTGGCAYGAAACAAGGGCCAGGTCATCTACCCGCCACAATGAGCATCCTAACAAACTGGAAATATTTAAGGAAACTGCGGGGTTCAGCGACACCTCCCTGACTTACAGCTAGCCTAGAAGCTATGAACGAGTCCGCAGTTACAGAGGGAACTGGTCTGCACTGCTCTCCTTTTGCTAATATTCAGCCTGGGCCACTTCTTGCACACATCAGCTGCCGCGAGCCACCGACCTGTCCTGGCGCTGGCAACAGAGTCACTAACATCAGGAAGAAGACACAACACGCCCTCGACATCAAACGCAGCCCAGTGCGATAAAAAGGACAGGTCTTTTGATGAGTTTAGCAACACAAATATTTAATATGCAAACAAGSCGGAGCATTACAAGGTCTTCAGAACTTACTGGACAGCAGCAAGCAAGTTAAAGGGCTTATGAGGAGCACAAAGTCAAAAAGTCAGCACAGGGGAAAAGGGCTGCACTCACCCACTAGTGACACTACGGTGTCCCAGTTCACAGCTACAGATTTTTGCAAATTTTGCAAATACGTAAATACACAAATTCCCTTCACCCAGGCTAAGCCTGCTTGGGCTGTCACTCAGGTCTTTGTCCATTAAAGATGGAGCATATCTCAATGCAAAAAAATAAAACAAAAATGCTGCTCCCTGACTCCAAGGCCGACACAAAGGAGTGAGTGACAGTATCTGCATTCAGCGCGGAAGGCAGAACGCTGCTTTCCTTTTGGCAAGCATAAACAGGAAGCTCCCGCGCAGACAGGAGATCATCTATCAGTGCAATTACAGTGCAATTAAAGCCTCTCAGCAATGCAAGCTACGAGGGTAAACTCTAAAGTAGATTACTCCGTGCTTCTAATCCCCCAGCCTCATCTCTTCGGGGGGATGATTATCCCCGTCTCGTTACTGCACCCTGAGGCTGTCAGGACTAGAAGCTGCCTTTTGCAAAACAGAAAAACTGAAATGGAGACACAAAAGCCCTASTCCTGAAAGCTGTTTAGATGCCCAGTGGCAATCTGTACATATATATTTTTTAATCAAGCTTCATTTGTAAAGTTGAAAGAAAACAAGCTGAAAGGAAGCAAAGTTTGAAGTCTCTGCAGCCTAACGAGCTCCTCTTTGAGAGATCTCCTCTCCCAGGTTCATGGCTTGTTGCATGAGTGAAGGTTAGGACACGGAGCTGACAAATTTGGGCTGGAGATGTCCACTCAGTCACAATGATGACATTCTAACTTACTRGAGATGAAGCCTGTCAACGTGGATAGGAGAGGAGAGGTACAAAGGAAAAAAAATCAGGCAAAAGGAGCTAGAGAAGGGGGGAAAAAAAGAGAATGCCTAAAGAGAGCTCCTGGAGAAGCTCCTCCTTCACAACAGAGGCAGCCAAAGTACTTTCAGAGGGATCCAAAGACCAAACCCTCAAGAGACCAGCATGGACAGGCAGCCACATGCTTGACAAACGTCCTGTGGCCACCAGCAGCTCTGTAAAGCCACCTTCTTCCTTCCTTTTCTCTCAGAGGCCCTACCTGCCGTGTGTTTCTGCCCAAAGATTCACCGCATACATTTGGAGGATTATCATATCTTTAGGACAGCAGGAGTGATAAGAGCCACTTGAGCTCCGCCTCCTTCAAACACATTACTCACGGGATCACATACTTGTAAGGGTCAACATGGATGCAAGTTCATGAGGGTACGTCTGTATTTGTGAGCACTTCTTGCAGCACAACCAATGCTTTCAAGCCACTTACCCTGAGAGGAGCATTTCAGCCACATWTTACAACAAATTTGACTGTTACGTGGTTTCTTACCTGAATTTCACTCACACTGAGATATGTAAGATGAGCTTGAACTCACATCTGCCCAGGAAAACTCTATTTTAAGTACTTATTTTCAACGTCATCTAATTCTCATTGACACAAAACTGTGGTTTATTATATTTAAAAGCTCTTTCATTTGTCACATGAAGCTAAAGTCCTTTATTTTTTCTTTCTTCTCCTTTCTTCTAACATCTTCTCTTCCAAAAAACTGAAGATCAACTTAACATTTTGCCTCATTTACAGAGGCACTTCGAGGACTCGGTCCCCCAGGCACGAGCATAAGGGAACCCACGGCGAGCCAGGGCTCAGCCACTGCCTCCTGACCCACCCCTGCCCACCAAATAAGCATCTTTGGGGACTGTTTTCCCAAAGGACAGCTTTTTTTTCCTTTTTTTCTGCTAACTCTGCCAAAACCATTGAAGGTTTTCTAGAAAACTAAGCAAGTACCAGCRAGCAGGAATGTTTGGATTGTCATTCTGTCCCAGAACTGCAGCACAGGGCACAGAAAGGTGCTTTACGGGCGTTTAGAGGGGGGTATTAAACCAGCCTGAATGACTCATGTGGATTTCGAGTTGAAAAATAGACGAACAACTGGTAGGAAACTCATGCCTCTGACATGTGCAGACCACAGCGGCGAGCCCACCGCTTGTGCAAGCCTGTCTCACAGGGCTGCCTTTCATCAGCTGTTGCCACTGGCTTCCCAGAGCAGGCCTGCAGGCTCCAAACCACAGGCACACAGGCCCAAGCTGTCACTGCTGGATCCCCTGAAGTAAACTGCTGGTCCTGGAAACGTGAATCATACGGCTCGAGGGAGGGAACCGCAGCACCCGCAATTGCAGTGCGCGGTGCCCCCCGCAAGAGGCAGGGGCTGAGCYGGCGCCCAACAAAGCGCCGTTTGAATGCCCAGAGCTTGTTATATTAGCTTGTTAATAACATGCACATGTAATTAAGTGCCCCAAAAGTCACTCTGAGAGGCCACAACTGTCAGGGAGCAGCACAGGGTGGATAAGAGAGGACCCAGAGGGAACAGCAGGGCTGGCAGGGCAGTGACCAGAGCCCGGTCCCACCGCGAAGCATGTGGGCAGACCCGGTGACTGTGGTYGGGTTCAATCAAGCCCTGAGATCTGGTTCAGAGGTTGGTAGGCAGGACCATGGCGACGAGGCAGGTCTGAGGTCACTGGCTCAACCCGGACTTGGAAGCAATTCCCACCCATAGTCTATTCTTGGAAAAAAGTTGCCCTTTTTGACAGGGACACTGATGACAAACTTAAACTAAGCCACATAAGCCAGGTGGTCTTCAGGGATGAATTTTGGTATCTACTGACTCAAGGGATGGATAACACAACTCAAAGAATGGCTAACGCACAATTTAAACTCTCTGTCTCCCACTGTAAATGACAGGAATTGTTCCARCCACTACAACGCAAGACTTTCTTCTGTCCATTTTATTTGTCCAAATACAAAGTGACTTGGGAGGCCTTTTTTTTTTTCAGATAAACCAGCAAATCAAGTTATTCCTCGAACACCTGCTGAATCTTCCCACCAACTGCTCCTCCCCTTGGTCCCAATGCGCTCGGGCAGTGTCCCCAGCAGGTTCTGCCTGCACTGCTTGACGCTCTTCACTGMGCTGCTCCAGCTTCCCTACCTGCCTGGCTGGACAAGAGATAACCCGTGATGTGTCTGATCGCTGCTGGCTCGGGACGGGGCAGAACTGCATTGCCAACATGTAGCAGGGATGCAGCTTTTTCCTCGCMTTTTCACAACAAGCAGAAAAAAAGACTTTCTTGGTTCTATATCAAGTTTAGGTTAGAGCCGGTCAACAAAATATTGGGATGGGTAGATCATGTACATCTTATTTCCTTGGGAAAAAAAAATCACATTAAAATAAAATCTCCCCACTTCCATCAAAGCCACAGTCACTCTCCCACTGCCACCAGTTTAGGTTTTACCACCCAGGAAAGTTCTTGACTGTACAGGCAGTGCCGTAGGACCTCGCACCTTCTACCAACAGTGCCTGCCTGAAGTCATGCATTTGCAGGCAAAAAAAGATAAGCTATCRCTTAAATTCTTCTCATGCTCCTCTTATCTGTACAAAGATCATCGTTTCTACGAAGCTTTCCCACATCCGTGTTCACGTCCCATCCCTCTCCAGACCTCAGGCCATGAACGCTTCCTTTGCTACCACAATTCCCCACAAGATCRTCTGAACCTTGCCCATTATTGCTTAATTATCCTGCCTGTTGATTCAGACCCTCCCTTGGGGGTCACTGCTCTTCTGTGGTCAGCCTCCCCCTTCCATGTCGGTACCAAAACGGCAGGAGAGCAGCAAGGTCACCAGCAGCAGCAACGCTCAAATGCTTCTCAGTGCTCTCTGCTCGCACGGGGGATTGCTCTGCTCCTTTGGCAGCGCAGCTGCCTGCGTTTAAATAGCCTCACTCCAAGTTCATCCCACCCTTTGCACAAAGCTGGGCTTTCCAAACCAACATTTTCTGCTAAAATAATATACATAGATATTACCCAGTAACATYGCAAAGTCTTGCTTTGCACCCTTTCTCTCAACAAACGAAGGGAATGGAGGAGATTGCACAAGCCTGCCTTTATTTTCCCCAAAGTTACTTTTCCTGCTGTCCAAAGCCAAGCAAGTCTGGCACGGATCAGCTCGTGCTTCCGACTCATGACAACGGCAGCGCCACGATGACTCTCCACAGAGAAGCCACCCCCAAGCAAAGAGACGTCAGCTTTGACACAGAGGTATTTACCTTGGATGCCAAGTTGTCCACTAGTGCGATCATGGAGTTCTTAAAGAGGGTGGCAGCTGTCAACGGTCGCTTGGTCACCTCAGTGATGCTCAGTTTACCTTCGGGCCACATCATCTTCAACACGGGATTAGAGCTAGAAGACAATCTCTTTAATTGCACAGACTAACAGCAGGGCAACAAGCAGCCCACTCAATCCAGATGTCAAGMGTTTGCTTCTGTCCAAATCTACCGGTGTTTTCAGCTCAGAAATACATCAGCCAACCCAGCATGACATTCTCGATCAGAACATCCCTCGCGCTTGAGCATCAGACACTCCAAGCTTGCAAGTAGCTACCCTAGAAGCAYGGCCAGAGCGTTCTCCTCTCCAGAGATGGGCACTGATGGGGTGGCACAGCTGCAAGGACCTACGGAAAGCAGGGCCTGCCCCACCGACACCCGCATAAAGAGGAATTTAATCTCAACAGAAAAGAGGAAGGTCGTAGCCCACAGCATCCTCCCTGGAGACTCAGCATTTGATTTCACGCCTTACTCCTGCACTATTCTCGCTGTATAAAATACTCTCTAGGTGCTCTCGAGGCGCTGAAGGTGAGCGGGAATGGCCATGATGGATGGCGAGAGGCTGCAAGAGACCAAGGCCCAAAGCAGTTAGGACAAGCTAATGGCCAATTTATCACTTGCTCTAACGCGCCCTAAGTGGTCTCTGCAAACAGCCCTTCCCACAGGCCCGGCTGCAGCCAGGGGCTACATTCAGCAACTCCTCTGGGCAGCACAGATTCTGCAGAYTTTTGGCGTTAAAAGGGAATAATAGGAAGTCTCGAAAACAAGACGGGCGAGACCGTTCAAGGGAGGACACTGAGCAAACACAACAGCTCTGTAAACTAAGCTAATAGTCGCCCTAGCTCTTAAGTGAGGGCAGCAGAACTGTGCGAGCAGCTCCCGGGCTCTTTTGCGCAGGCTCTCGCCCTGGGCAAAGCTGGGAAAGGCCGAGACAGACAACGGGTAGAGAAGAACTAAAGCACATTTAAGGCCAGTCATCCAGGAAGAGTTTTCTGGAGTTTTCGTTTAAGATAAGTGGCCATTTGGTTCAAATTTGTCATGTCAGAGGTTTGAATCCTCCTCGCAGGTGCTATTTGTTATTTTTTTTCCCCACACCTTAAGTCTTTCTTTCAAATAAATAAATAAATACAAGCTTTTTATTGGGGTTTGACAAGATTATTCTTGAACAAATGCTGCTCAAAAGGCTTTAGCACTGATGAAAGATCAAAGAGATCAGTACTGGTACATCTGCAACTAATCAAAATCATGGGTTAATGACCAACCAAGCACAGGTAGCCTCCGCGGCGCTATCTGGATTGCACAACGAGTTGGGTTCAAACAAACACTGCAGATTTAGTTACGTTAAAGGTTACATTGGGGAAAAACAACACAGAAAAGGGCTTTYATCTTGAGAACTGCAGTAGGTGAGCTTTCAAGTCAGGGCGGATTGCAAACACTGGATCCCAAAGCCGTGTTTACTGCAACAGCCAACACACACGCACCACGTGCAGTAAAGACAGCGTCAGCGACAAAACATTACGCTGCTCCACTGTCCATGCTATAAAGAAAAGGAAGCCAACAAATAAGACTTAAAAGCAAGCGTTTTTGTAATTTTACACCTACCTGTTGTACATGAGGCGCTTGAAGTCCTGAAATAAAGTGTCCTTGTTTTTGTCAATAAATCCAGTGACTGAGTAACTAGAAAAGAAAATAAAGTCAATGGTAAAGAAGCAGAGTCTCCTGCTGTTGGTATCTCTGTGGGATCAGGTGAAGAGTGTGATGGCCAAGACCCGTGAAAGGACTTGGRCAAGCTGTGGACTATCCAAACCAGGGTCAGGGCTTGGGCTCAGGGGCCTGTGTTTGAGCTAAATCCTGCAGACAGTAAGTTTTGCTCTTCGACATGTCTAGTCTGCTGCTTGCCTGGCATGAAAGATAAATCTCCACCGAGAAATGAGGAACAACCAATAACCAGGTGATCAGCAAATGCTTGAAAATAACACGGACGACTTTGGGATTCTTTTGATAATGAAAGACTCCTGAAACTCGCCTCGTCTCCGCGGCTCCCGGCAAGGAGCTCTGTGTTCCCAGGGACCCAGGCCAGAAACTCCCTGTTCAGCCTCTAGCTGCTTTTATAAACTCAAGGTAAATCGAAGCTCACTGTAAAAACTCCTCCCTCATTGTCTCCTTTTGAATTCCGCAAGCGCCGGGAGTTACAAAACTCCAAAGCGACTACGGAAGCGTGCCAGCAATATTCCCAAATATCACTTTTCCAGGAAACCGTTTCTAACACGTGGGCATCTTCATTTTGCTCCCTATCATTACAAAACACAGCAGCAACTGCCATAAACTTTGGCCATAGAAAACTTTTTAACCTGACTGAGAAACGCTCCCTACCCTGACGTTTATTTTGATTATTTATTTGGGTATCCTGTATTTTGCTGCTCAMAGTGATTTAAGAATATTAAGCTAGAGAATTATATAACAGTATGAAACAGATGTCTAAAACAGATCTTATTAGCTCACTACAGCCTTTTTGAATAAACAGTGTTTTTTCCCCCCTTCCCCTGAAGCATTTGTCTCCTTTTCTACATTTTTCTTCCCCCCCCCTTTTTTTTTTTTTTTTACAAGAACAAAATGAAGAAACTGCATGAGATTTAATTGATAAGCAGTTGCTGCACGGTGTAATTCTGTATGACAGCTATTTCTGGTTCATACCAGAAGCGGTATTAAATCAGAATATTGTACCACTTCAAAGCTGGTTAAAAGACAAAAATAGAAGGTACAACTTGATTTCTGTGGGGAAAAGAAGGAAAKGGAAAAAAAGGACTCACATCACATCTCCAGCGTAGTGCTTGATTCGAAAGTCTCTATCAAACTCCAGGATTTTGTCAGTGGCACACAGCTAGAATAAATTTCACATACATTAAAATGTCACCCTTGGAATTTCAAGCTTTGTGGCAGAGCAACTTGCATTGGGAGCAGCAAGTGAAAATGTGGTTATCCCCCTTGATACAAATACATGTGTGAAGATGGGAAATTCCATCACAACACCACTTCGTATTTTTTCAGGGATACTTTATAAAAACAAAACATGCTTGTCTAAAACCAAGTTAATGAACTAGAATTTTAGCTTTGAAAAAAATAACCCTCCAAATTGTCATTAAGTGAACACTTGTGCATACCCGTCACTGCACTTARGAGTTAATTAATGCCCTTTAAAAATTCTCCCTTGGTATTTTTCCACCGCGATAGCCCTGCTCAGCAAGGAAACGAAGGGGCCAAAGTGGGGCGGTTTTTGCTCCCCTGCCAAGGCCAGGCCTCTTTGGGAGGGCTCACGCTGCTGCCCACGCGGCTGCAGCCCCTGCGTTCGCAGCCCTGGCTCCCGCTCCGTCCTTCCCCACAACGACGGTGCCAAGTGCCCCATGGCAGCGCTTGGTGCCAGCGGCAGTGACGCCCCACAGCCCATTGGGAACAACAGAAGCCAAAAGGAAAAAGCATCATGCTGTGCTTAACGAAAGAAGGAGGATGCCAAAAAAATGATTTTTCGCATTAAAGCCCCAGGTAAATGAGTTAAGGTCTTGGCAGGATGCACGTGCACCACTTGAAAACGTTCAGGACTAGGAATAAATATTTACCCACCTTACCAAAAGTCTCGGGAAAATGCAAGAGGAAATTAGCACCGTTGCATTGCAGGGTAAGAGATTAATAGAAGCAGGAAGATATCCTTCAAAAGCTTAACCTGCGTCCAAGAGTAGAAAATAGATTGGCTCAAACCGACAGACTAAATTTAAAAAAAAAGTCACAAGCAAGCAAAACCATTGAGCAACAGGTACATTAAAGGTTACAAAAGGTATAAGCAGCCCAGTACGTTAGGAACAAGAAGCCTGCCAGGGTCGGACAGGGGACCAAAGGTGTAGGAGGAACACAGAGCAAAGGAGGCCGTACCCCAAAGCTAAGCAGTGTGCGTCTTGGCAGCTCTGGTCTTTATCCAGCCACCCAAAGTCTAACATCTCCAGCCCATATGTCAGCAGAAGGCGCAGGGCATAGAAAAACGGGATGAAAAGAAGCAATTGCCTCCACCCAACAGGACGTAATGAGGTGCAGGGGCCTCTCGTTTCAAATTCACCCCAAACTGGAGAGTTTGGAAGGTAGCTAAATATGATGGTTTTTTTTTTTTTTTTTTTTTTTTTGGACTGAGTTTTTTAATGTTTCTCCCTGTTAACTTTGCTTCTGCTGGCAAATCAGTAGAAATCACTTTTAAAAATATTACGCATACTGATTCAGTTGACAGTCTGCTTGGTTTTCTGAGTCTCTACATAAAGTTCCTCACTAGAAACTCAGAGAAATTAAATTGCTATGAAAGACAGGAGGAAAGGGTCCTCATTAAATGGAAAGATGGTAACTGTAAATGGTCTGGTTTTAGAGCAGAGTTTCACCAGGGAGACCCACAGGGGACCTGGCTGAGGTCTACACTGCTAATACTCTTAAATGAGCCATAAAGACAGCATGAGAAGCAGGTGATCCAGCCTGTTGCTAACAATTATCCAGGGAAGCAAAATCGATGACTGAATGTGAAGAACTGCAGGAAGACATCAGAGGTTCGCAGAAAGGCATGAAAAAGCAAAGGAACTTCAACAAAGAGTGATCCCAACAAAGATACGGGAAGATAAGCCAAGGTTCACAGTAAAGTAACAGCCTCTCAATGACTATTCCCCATTTCCCATCTCAAAAAAAAAAGATATGAACAAAACTGGGAGAGGCCTGAGGAAGGGCACAGAGCCACTGGAGGAAGAGCCAAACACACGAAGCTTCTTGGGGTTAGGGAAGAAATGATGGTAGGTGACAACGAGGGATATGGAGGAGATGTAGGGGAAGGCAGGATGAACTGTGTTTCCTTGTTCAAGAGYGCAAATGGAACCTGAAAGGGAAGGAGGAGCAGGGAGGAAAACAGGAAGGAGGGAATTCTCCACAAATCAATAACCTAGTTGTGGAGCACTTTGCAAAAAAAGTAATAAAAAAACACGCTGATCAAGGGCTATTAAGGACATCATTCCTTATTTAGGATGTTTCTGGATCGTGGAGCACCAAGATCTATTGCTCAGTTTCTTCTATCATTTTGACCTTCACTACTGCCCACTGCCTTGGAAGACATTATGTCAGTCGGGTGGACCAGAAGGGACCTTCTCACACGCAGAGCTGGTTGAGATTGATGCTACTCAGATCCTGACACTCTTTGAAGTTTCAGGCATCCAAGCACTGTCTATCACTCCGCTAGAGCCTTTGAAATTAGAAGATCAATTGAGAACAATCAGAATTCAGAGAGCTTGCAAGAATGAGCCTGTGATGTTGAGAACTCTTAGCGAAGCAATTCACATTTGTGCAGGGCTAGCTAACTGTTAGACAATTTGCAGAAGAAAGACCCGCTTCCTTTTTGTCTGCTTGTTGGGTTTTTTTTTGCTTTCTTCTCGAGGAACACAGAATTCTGCCACAAATGCTCATAGGGAAACCGTTTGCCGATGCTCTTCCTGGCTGGTGAGGCTTTCAGCAGGACAACCAAGCAGACAGCAGCAGAGCAGATCTGCAGAACACAAACTAGGACACTACTATTTAGGGCACAGCAGCCCCTTGGAGCTTATCCACCCGGAGCCCAAGTGCMACATGCTCCACAGGAGAGCAGTGGAGCATTAACAGAGGCTCAAAGATGGGAGCTGCTCCCATAACACAGCAGCACACGCACTTCTTAACTCTGTAGGATCATCTCGCACCTACGGACAGCTTTGGAGTACCTGGATGGAACAACTGCCAAGGATGGAATGAAACCGGGGCCTCTGCTTTAATCCACAGGCGAGAGGCTAGTGGAGATGGCTCCGACAGCTTGCTGGGCTAAGGGCTTGTTGAAGAAGGTGTTTTAGCTACCGGCCTATAGCAAAGGTCAACAGCAAAGACGTGAGAGGAGGAGAAAAATATTCGAATTTTACGAGTCAATATTTTCAAGGCTATATTGATTTAAACTAGAAAATTAGCAAGCCAAGGAAATGCATCATTCCCTCCATAAACATTATTTATAGCTCTGTTCTTCGCTTCCTTTCCAGGCTGCACGGAGGGTTTTCTGACAATGCCACCCCCTACTGAGGACTACTGMAGCCGGCAGGATTTTTATTATTTTTTAATATTCCTATGCTGTGAAGGGACTCCTGAAGATAACGACTCATATGGCTTTTTTTTTTTTTCTAATTTTATTTGCCTTTTATAGTCTCCCATATGTTCTATGGAACTCGGTGCTCTTCCCCAACTGCAAAGCCCCTCTCCCTTATGGAAAGGCTCCACCCGGCGGAGACGGGACCAAGGACTGAGCGGAACCCCAACTCTTGCGCTGGGATTACATCTGCAAGGGCTCTGCCAGCCGCATCTTTTCCCAAGCTGCCCCAAATGCCGGGGATTTCAGGATCCAGCCCCCCAGACTTCGCTCCTAATACCACTAAGAGAAAGAATTTGCATTAAAAGGCCAACTAGGCATCATGAAAATACTTGATCTCAGGTGAGGAGCATTCCCAACACGCCTGCTGCTTAAGCAGGGGCCATTTAGGTTAATGCGGGAAGCAAAACTGCCCGTTCCCCTCCCACAGCCGACACGCGGGGCAGCAGAGCAGGAAGGTAACGCAGCTACAGGGCACCTAAGGAAAGCCACAGCTGGAAGAAAAACTGCCGCCCATTTTATTTTATTTCCGTCCCGTCCCCTGCTCAAACAAGCCAGATCCAGAGCTATTGTTTATCCTGAGCCTCCCCGGAGGCAGACTTTAGCACGTCTCTTACACAACCCAGCTAATTTTGCATTTCTGACCTACATACAAGAGTCTACGGTGGTGGGAGGGGAAGCGAGAGCATCCTCAAGGCTACGTCTCAACCAGCATCCTCAACAACGGGRCATCAGGACACGGCAAGCCTTTATCTGATTATTCAGCGTGAAAAGTCTCCAATTAATCAGCCCGCTGACCACATCTGCAATACGCTGCCAAGTGCTGGATAAAACCTTTTAATTTGCACCCAGGGCCAAAATAAACAGGCACGGCAAAGGACACCRTAGGTGCAGTTTAAGATGAACTCGTTTTGCAGGCAATGACAATGGAAAAATAATAAATAAAAGAATCGCTGGAATAAAGCAGGAGTGTGGCTAATTTCGCTGTCATTCTGAATTCCAGCAGCCTGGGAAGCCAGGCACGTGAATGGAAACGCGGCGCCTATTGGGTGCAGATGACATCATGGCAAACACGAGCTCCTGCCTGCCTTTATGCTGGGAATAAAAGCAGCCTCGCATTGCGCATCCTTTAGCTCCCTCTGCTGCTGGCAAAACCTTCAGGAGAGCACTGCCGAGCGCAGGCCGCATGGCCTATTTCCATAGCTTAAGAGCTGCTGTGCTTAAGCTTGAAGATGCTATGCTTAAGCACAACCAGGGAGGTTGTGGAGTCTCCTTCTCTGGAGGTCTTCAAAACCCRCCTGGATGCCACCCTGKGCCACATGCTCTGGGTGTGCCTGCTTGAGCAGGAAGGTTGGAYKAGMTGATCTCTAGAGGTCCCTTCCAACCTTGAATATCCTGTGATTCTGTATGCTCCCCAGCACGGAAACACATCCCTTGTAGCCCAGATTCCAAGCCCAGGCACTCTCCAAATCCTTCGCCTCACTGCAGTAAATCTACAACAAAACACACGGGACGTGAACCAAGTTGCCAGGATGCGGAGGAGCAAGTCACCTTTCTGCTGGAGAAGTGAGCGTGCTTGCCCAGCTTGTTATTGAGAGCCTCGAGGAACATCTCATCCGTCACCTTCCCGACGTTCATGCACGCRTCGTCCAGAATGGCAATGATGCCTTTGTGCTGCTGCTCCACCAGGTCGACGATGATCTGGTTGTTGAAGTAATCGATCTGGAAAACAAGGAAGAGCAGGAATACGTTATAGATAGGACTTTGGTGAGYGCAAGAAGAAGGTGTCCAGGATCCTAACAGTGTTAGCCCTCGCTTGGTGACAGTTTTATTATTTGCCAAGAGCATTAGGCCCAGCAATCACAAGGGAAGCGCTCAGCTTGCAATACGCAGGCCACTAACTAAAAACTAAGCAGGCAGCTATCACAAACACACTCTGCTACCGCTAAAGAGCAGAAAAGAGGATCTTTTACCTACCTCCCATTAATTTCAAGACTTCTAAAACTCAGCTGCTACAGAATGCACTTTAAAATAGCTTAACATTCAACTGCACACAGTTACATCAGTGAAAACTGGGGGGAAATAAGAAAAGTGTGAAATCCAGTACAGGACAATTAGTTTACTAAACACACCGGTAACTTTTTTCCCACATGGTGACACAAAGACTGAGGTCAAGCGCACTCCAGCTCATTCCCACCCGTTCCTGGAGTGCGTTCCTCCACGATCAGGTTTTGAAAGGGGCTGGGTAAATTATCCCAGAGGAAAAATGGGAGAACTCACTAATTTACTGTAAATGGAGGATCAAACCCCTTAATATTGATCTAATATGAGCCAATATCTTTTGTTTAAAATCTGATTCCCGATCTTATCCCTATATGTCTCTAATTCAAGTTACCWCTAACTTGAATATCAGAACCCCTCTTTTTTTTCCCATTTGAATAGCTACAGCTAGACAAACAGATGAGCATTTAGATTAGAAACCTGGTCCCAAAGACACCACAAGATGTGGCCTCTCAGCCCTGGAGCCCCCTCTTTACCCAGGGCAAACACAGAACCGTTACTATATTCTCAGGTCGCTTCTTCCCCAGCCTGCCTTGCAGGCAACGATGCTGACGGTTCTGCCAGCATCCACACGGATGTCCTGTTGACTTGGACAGGAGCTTAAACGGGGAGCAACTTTAAACCTGGGACTTGTGCTGTGCAGCGCCCTCAGCCCAAGCTCTCCCTGCCCTGCAGCTCGCTCACATGCTTCCAGGGAATTCCCTCGCGCTGGTACTCCTCCTGCTCCTGCTTTAGAACCAGCTGAATGAAGAGCTGCTGTAGCTTTTCATTGCAGTAGTTAATGCAGAACTGCTCAAAACTGTAATAAAAATAATAAGAAAAAAAAAAAGGCAGTGAGTTTTCTCACATGGGTAAGGAGAAGCCACAGCACTGCGCTTCAGCAACGGGGCTCACCTGTTATTGTCAAATATTTCAAAGCCATAGATATCCAGGACGCCGATGACGGTGTTCTTGCCGTGCACGGCGGTGTCGTAGTTCTTCACTTCGATCACGCCGTTGATGTGTGTCACGATCCAGCAGAAGAGGCGCTCATAGATGGCCTGCCAGCAAACAGAGAGTGAGCAGCTCTCCCGCACCTCTCCCTTCCTTCCAGGGCCCGTGCAAGCCAGCATTACAAAGCCTAGCTCAAGATGCTGCCCACAGCAAAGCAAAAAAAAAAAAGCAGATTAAATTCTACTAAAAACTACTGGCTAAAAGAGAATATCCAATAAAAATGTTGCTTTTGCTTCCAAAACACGCAAGCACAAAGTCTAAATCCTAAAGAGGTCTCTGGGTACGGTGCTTCCCCCCTTGGATCACAGTCTGCTTTTAAGCTGGCTATTATCTTCCACACCTGGAAATTATTTCACTGTATACATGAGCAAGCGAGAGTTCAAATAGGCAGAGAAACCTGGCAAACGAACCCAATAGCAGTGAAATAATACTGTTCACCTTTAAAAAAGAAAATGATCATTGGTATAAGTATCTTCAAAGCCTGGAGGTTCAAAATGCGCTCTGAAGGCATGGAAATATAGAAGCTTATTACAAAAAGTGAAGTTAAAAACCAAGGAGCCTTCGTACTTTCATCYTCATCGTTTGATTAGATATATATATTAGCTATAGAACACATTAGCTATATATTATATATATATTAGCTACAGAACACAGCACACGTGCAGAAACAAATTAGCACGAAGCAGGGAATTCCACGTCTCAGCAAACACTACACTCAGGAAGCCACCCAGGAATCCTATCAGTAGCTGAGTATGGAAAAATGTGCAATTTTGAAGGTGTTTCAAAACTCTGTGCCTTCTCCAGGCATCATCRTTCTTTGAGTGAGTTACACACGGAGCACCAAACACCCAAAAGCTAAAGAACTGCATTTGGGCATCCGAATGATCTGAATAATCCCCWACAAAACCAGCTGCAAAGAAAGCAAATTTGAGCTCACTTTTGCAAAGGCGTCTCTGCCATAGGTGGCCTCCTGCTCGGTGTGCTGCTTGTCAATGACGTCGCGCCCCGTGGCCACGGTGCGGAACAGGAGGGCCTTCTCCACCAGCTCAGCCTTGGTTGACAGCAGCTCCGCGATGGCCGACACGACCTTGCCATTTTCGATGAGAGGCRTGTCGCCATCCACAGAAAACTTCAAGTTGCCCTGCAATAAACAGCGAGAACCGGAGTGGGTTTCCTTGGCCTGTTATTACCATCAGTCCATCAGTCAGGAAGCCTTGAGTTCAGCCATACCTCCAGCTGCGATTCAAGCCCTTGCTCCACGCTGCAGAAGTGCTACCCCACGGAGCAGAAAGAACGGGAGAAACGTACCGTTTTCTTTTGCCTGCTCCCCCTTTCCACCTGCAATGGTTTTCTCCTCAGGGACACATCAGAACGGAGCTACAGCGACAGCGCACAGGGGAGGAGGATCTACGGGTGTGCTCCGCACATGGAGAGCGGGAGGACTCCCAAGTTTCTACCACGGAGACCACCACCACACAATGTGACCACTCCTGAAGCACAGTCTGCTCCAGCTGGGGGGCAGARAACCTACCAAGTGAAGAATGGCGGCCACGATTTTGTAGACGGTCTGAATCTCCTCTTGCTTGAAGCCGATCACTTTCATGGCATCAGCGACTGCTTTGAACTCTGCACCGTCRTTGTTGGAACACTGTGGAGAGAGAGATGAGCGTAGGGCGCAAGCACGAAACAGCTGCCACGGGTAACGGGCCAAACTGGCCCAAATAGCTCTGCTCGCATTTATTACCAGTGACAAGGTACTTCCTGCCGCAGAGGATTGCTTTCCATAAATAGGAGCAAGGGGGCTATGGACAGCTAAGCACACGCTTGTCTGCTAGGTCCAGAACCTCCGTTAAGAAGAGCAGATAGGTGTTACCTTTCCCCAGTCACCCCAGGCTCAGCTTCTGCTATTTCAGGAGTAGCTTTAAGTATTTAAAGATGCATTTACAATGAAGACAAGTTACCTGCAGCTCCCTGCCAGGACCCTCACCTTTAGCTGGGCTCCGGCGCGGATATAGTTGTACGCAGACGCGTCCTTCTGAAGATGTAGAGAGCGCAGCATCTGGTCAGAACCCCCCTGCAACAGCTGGACAAAGACAAAGGGTATTTTAAGAAAAAGAGAGACAATAAGAAAAAAAAAAAGCTTTACTTCTTTCACAGTAAATCAATCTCTCACGTTAAATAAATTCTGTTCCTGCTTGGCAAGGAAAACCCGAGAGATGAAATTAGTGCCAAGGCCGAATCAGCCAGGCCGGCTGGAGTGGCCAGGGGATGCCGTGGGGCTCCGGCACCTCCTCCTCCACCCGCGTGCTTGCGCTTCCGACAGGCCACAGAGGCTTTCCAGCAAGCACACTGACCTCCGCTCCGTGCGGAGACCTCCCAACGGGAGAGGACATGGTCATTAGAAAGGTGCTAACGTGCTACTATGGTGTACAAAAGGGACAAAACAAATAAACCTAGTTCTCCCGCCACAAAAGCAAGAATAAAGGCTATACTGAGAGGCTAACCATTTCTCCCAAAGAACACCYGAGGGAAGCATCATACAGCCTGGAAGACATTTAAAAGAACCCAAGGAAGAAAGGAGGTGAACTTGGAGTCACAAAATTACTTCCAYGTGGACAAGAGAGGTCTCGAGACAATAATCCAGGCCTTAGACTTTCTGCAAGTAAAGCAGCGAGTCAAAGTCCAAGATCCTACCACGCTTGTTTAGTTAACCTCCTTTTAGGTTTAAAAAGGTGTTAATGTGGGACAACAAGAGGGAAAACAAAATCTTCCCAAGCTCCTCCACCAAAACAGGCCTCTCTGAACAGGCGTCAAAGCAAAAGGTCACTCCAGATGCAACAACACAGGGAATCCTCTGCGAGACCCACGAGCGGAGGAAAGCTTTCCGTGTTCTACTTGTCTTTTGGGGAAAACCTGGGAGCAAGCCGTTGTTTTCCAGACGCAGATACCAACCTGGTAGAAGGAATGAAAGCTTCGTTCCCCTGGCTGCTGCACGATCACGCGAGACTGAGGGGGAAAAACACAAGATGAGTTTTTCTGGATGCAGAAGGTCTGTCTCCCAAGCAAAGCACTATTACTAGAATACTTCCAAATTAGCATTATCTTTTACTAAGTCTATTATGAATATTATTTGCTAGGCATGAGCATAGAGTTTGAAGTTTCTATGCYGAAAGACCTGCCTGTGTAACAGCTGCAGGTCTATTTTTAAGCAGAAATCCCATGTGGCAACTACTGAATTGTTTTTACGTGAGAGTCAAGTAAAAATAACATTTTAGGTTAACAGTTCTTAAATAGCTGTCAAGGAGAAGCAGCATCAGGCAGCTGCAAACATGGTTTGGGACTCCATGGTTAGGGACTCATGGTAACTACTTCTAAAACACCCGGGCAGGAGGACTAACAGCACCCAACCACTGTAAAATTTAAGTATTTTTTAAAGCAGGAGCATTATTTTGAAGAGCAACTGATAGCTCCATCCGCAGAATATTCTTCTGAACCCATAGCACAAGAAAGAAAGTTAGCAAGTGGCTTATCCTTATTTTATATTGTAAGCTTTAACCATGGAAAGTGACTGCATGTGTKTTCCCACCCCAGTGCAAACTCATTGAGTTAGCATCAAATCCCTCCACTTCTTTGAAAAGGGATGCAAATTTAACTGGCTTGAGACTATTAAATAAAGGGTTGTGATTTAAGTGCAGCTGCGCCCCAGTCCTTTTTCTTTTGCATGGAAGCATCACATGTTAAATGTTTTTCTTTTATAAAACAAAGTGTTTACTCTGAAAATAGACTTCAGGGAAACAATGGGAGAAGACAATTAGCAGATGTTGTCAAACACGCAAATTAAAGCCAGCTGTCCCTSAAGCCATGCGAACTGTTAATAGATCAAGCGCAGCTTCTCTGCAGGGTTTTGCAGATTCCAGTGTTTTCGGCCACCGCTTAGTGACATGAAGAGAATTAGGCTCAGGCCGGCGTGGAACAGGCGAAACCAAAGTTTCTAGGTGATGACACAAGGCCGTGGCGTTATTTCAAAGTAGCGCTTCCGGAGCCTGCCGCTGCTGCTTACAGACCTGGACGTCTTCTGCATCTTATTCACCAGGAGATCTCAAGGCAGGAACTTACCAAGAAGGATTTTTGCTAATGCCCCACTAATGCCAGCTTTGATTGGGCATACCAAGGGCACATATCTATATGAACACCGGCCTTGGAGGAACAAGGTCCTCCACGCGGCGAGCTCGGGAAGCCGTGCCTTGCCTTGGCAGCATTTCAGTTCTTTCACTAATTCTTGCCTAAAAATTAAGCTCAGGATTTCAAGGGATTCTGGCACACTAAATTTGAAAGGAAGACATCCTCATGGCAAAACATTAACCTTTTACACATGTAACTACTCAAAACCCTGACCCTGGCTTACCTTTTCTAGCAAGTAATTATTGATGTGCCCACCTATGGGGTCTCCTTTAAAGTCAAAGTTGATATCCATGTATTTTCCAAACCTGCTGGAGTTGTCATTACGGTTTGTCTTGGCATTGCCAAAGGCTTCTAACACACAGTTGGATTTCAGCAGTATGTTCTTCACCCTTTAGTGCAGGCAGAAGAGGAAAGGATGAATCTAGAGGTTTCCACTGGAACATTTTTGCTCTTTGCTGCATGTCACATGCACAATCCCACGGGAAACCAGCTGTGAGCTTTTGGGAACGCTCCTTAGAGCTGAACAAATGTGAACTGAAGAGCAGATCTCCCTGCTGAAAATGCCATGAATCAAACATTCACTCTCTCAAAAYGCACCCGAGTTTTGAAACCAATTGCATCAACTCTTTGGCAAACACTCTGCAAGATGTTTTCAGGCTGGGGATGACATTGGTTTCAGCAGAAAGCCACATCCTGTATTTCCAAAAATTTATGCTAGGACAGGCACATTTGTAATTGAGGAATACGCAAGCCTGAACGGACACGGGGAGCACTCCTCACACCGGCTCACTGCTCTAGCGTACACACGCCTCCCACAATTTCCCCCAGGAAACACGATTTCTGGACGTTATTTTTATTTTGAAAGCTCCAAGGCTTGAGTTTCTCCTGACTCTTCTACATGATCTTAGCAATCCATATTTAGCAACTGGTATTTCAAAATTTCTAGAGCAAAAGTAGAATCTGATGAAAATAAAAGCGCTGTTACAATAGCATGGAAAGGCTGCAGGAGACAGTCCTGTAACGTGGTACCACACGGGCTAGAGAAAGAGATCCAGGAACAGAACCGCGTCCCGTGTTCCGCTGCCAAGCCCTCACCTTTCCACCTCCGCTCTCTGACCAGGGTTGGTAATGGCTGCTATGTACTGCATAATATATTTACTGGCCTCAGTTTTCCCAGCTCCACTTTCACCTAAAGGCAAAAAAAACACAAAATMAAGTCAAAATAAAATCAAGGCAATCACTGAGCAATATTCTTAATTGTACCACGGTAACGTTTGGGAGGTTGTTGTTTTCACAAGGAATCTTATTTGGGCGTGCTCGGAACGTGTTTTAAATCAAGCAAAACCCTGCCCAGTTGTTACTGCTGTGTTGACTTCAAACCAGCGCCGGTGCCGGGTTTCACAGGTCTGCGAGAAGGCCAGCAAGAGAGAATCAAAAGAGATATTGTTGGAGGAAGCAGCGTGGCAGGCAGAGGCCTGGCTGGCAGCGGCTGCGAGCGGCAGCACAAGGGCCTTCTGTGCAGGCAGCATCTCGCGGCTCTCGCCTGGCAGGCTGCGGCCTGCGACATCAAGGAGAGCAAGTGCCAGGATCCAGAGCGCGAGCGCTCGCGGAAGCAGCCCCGCTCCCGCTGCCCGGAGCTGCCCGGGTGCCGAGGCGGAGCACAAAGCTCCGAGCGCCGCCCGGGCACGGCAGGAGAAGGCAGTGAACAAGGCGGGAGCTGAGCCCCGTTCCAGCGGCACTGCGGGGAGGATCAGCCCTTCACGCACGGGTCAGACCAACTGCTGCTACCTGCTCTCAAATCGGATCAGCAATAATCGCAAAGGTCCCCACGTGCAGATTAAAATGCAAATAAGCTTAAGATGAACAATATATTCTCTTTTCTGAAACATCGTTAGCCAAGTCCTTCTCCTTCTGCCTGTAATTTCCCAAAGAGGAAGCGCGTGCCGTGAGGGCAACGCTTCCAGCCTACCCGATATGACAATGCAGGTGTCTTTGGATCGCCTCTTCATGGCTTTGTAAGCGGCATCGGCGATCGCGAAGAGGTGCGGCGGCCTCTCGTACAGCTCCCTGCCCTTGTACTGCTCGATCATGTCGCGCCCGTAGATGTTCAAGTTCTTGTAGGGGTTCATGGAGACCACGACTTCCCCAATGAACGTGTATATCCGGCCCTTCTCGAACCTGCGCAGGGGGAGGCAAAAAAGAGAAAGTAGATTGGTCAAAATTGCAGTGAAGAACAAGTTTCCCAAGCAAAYTGCCCATTAATGATAAGCAAAGATCAGGGACAAGTTTATGTTATTCAGTTCATAAAGTGGATTAAAGGCAAGTTTTTTTCTCACGTTCTAGAGGTCACCTGGATCCAGGCCAGATAAACCCAAGTTTTGAAGTCACRGACTTCCAGGTCTAACAACATTTGCAAGAAAGCAAAGACAAGACACAAGCTAAGAAACAAATCACTGCCCTTCTGCAATCCACTAGGAACGAGCTTCCTCTCACCCTTTTCACTAGGAGGCACTTTGAAATGACCACTGCTGCTGCTAAGCCAGCTGGAAAGCTGCTGAAGAGCAAGCACGTGTCRGCACTGAACCTCAGCAGGCCATGAGCTCTCCTTCTGACCTGACAGACGGGAATCSCAAGCTGGCACACTGATTTTTTGAAAGACGTTTCCAAAAAGTTGCATATGATAAAGCATCATCCGGCTGAAGAGCATCCGAGCTGTTAGAGAACAGGAACTGAGGATGTCCCTGGGGATTTGCTTCTCCGAAGGACAACAATGGACTTGGGGACAACGTGTAAAGAAGGATGTTCTGTTATTAAACACCTGGATTCACCCTGTATTTAAAACTTGTAACGTTAGATGGCACCACAACCCTCTCTATCCCACGGAGCGGGTCTGTGTGGTCCTCCACGGCCACGGACAAATCCAAGCATCATTCTCTGGAAGTCACCACCAGCCCACGTGCCGGGCACGATGTTCTCAGCTGCTCTCAGGGTAAAGTGTTGCACCCTCTTGGCAGGGTCRGTTTGTAGCAGGTGTGATAAAAACTTGGAAAATGGAACCCAGAACCGAACCCACAACCGCCTGCAGCYTCTTTTCTCCACTATAATTGCAGTTGCCTCCACTGAAAGGGCAGGAGAATCGCAAAAGGTCTCTTTGCTCCAGCAAGAAGTTCTAACCAAAAGAGTCCTGGCAAGTGCTTCCCAAGATACTGCGGAACTTAAAACACAGAGACACATTTTGAGAGCTCWAAGCTGCCTGAAAGCCAAAAAATGTCGTCTTAGGAAAGGCAGGAGCATTGYAATAAGTAGGACGCACTGAAATGCTGCCCCTCTTGGACAACCACGTCAAGAGAAGTGATGGGTAACACGTTGGGAAGGCAACGGAGCTGAACTGCTAAGATGCCACCCTGTGCCCCGGGGGTCCCTGCTGGGGCAGGGGGTTGGACTGGATGATCTCGAGAGGTCCCTTCCAGCCTCAGCCGTTCTGGGGCTCTGTGCAAGGGGGACACAAACGCCGGGGGTGAAAGCAGCAGCRGGGCCCTGCTCTTCGGAGGCCTCGCTGGGAAGGGCACGGGCGGGATGCCGGCGCGCTCCATCCTCCCCGCTTTAATTCCCTGGATGGCCAAGCAGGCTGCGATCGCGCTGCGCCAGCGACACCCAACACTCGCCCTAGGGGCGCAGACATCCTATAGCATACTGCTCCTCCTGGGTGCTGCTTCCGCCAGGCGAGGCTCTGGAGACACGGCGGAAAAGACGTCGGGGCTTTTGTTTTGTTTTTTTGGTAACTTTTGGTTTACACGATGCAAATCTGCAGGGATGACAGAAACGCTGCAACGGTGCCGGGCGTTTCTCAGCGCTGCGGGCAGGAAAGCGCGCCCGTGGTGCCCGTGGTGCCCGCGGCGCCCGTGGCCCCGCCGCGCTGACCTCTCCCTGCGGCCATGAATTATGCACGGCGGCGGCGGCGGCGGCGCGGCGCGCTCGAGGCTTCCTGGGCGGGCAGGTCGCTGCCCCGCAGCGGAGCCACCAGATTGCGGCGGCGGCTGCAAACGCAGCCACGATCCACGCGCAGGAACCCGCGGCGCTTCCACACCTGCAGCAGGGCCACGCGTTCCCCGCTCGCCTCCCAGGGACCAGGCCCAGCCTCAGAAGAGCAAGTCCAGCCTGCGTAACGCGGGTGAGGAGCATCAGCTCCTTCGCGAGCTCTTCATGACTTGGCTCAAACACTGATTGATACTCAGAAAACAGAAGCCAGCAGGTCACAGAAGGGATGGGCTTACAAAGGAGAGGGCCAGGCAGAAAAAGGGATCTTACTTTGTTGGGCATTTTTTATTCTTTAGAGAAGGCCTATTAAAAAAAGAAATGTTTAAGTCTGTAAGTTTATCCTTCAGCTTCCCAAGTGAAGCAATTTGAGGGTCCTTATCAGTCTGAGGTATCAGACCAAGAGGATTCTTTTTTTTTTTTTTTTTTTTTTTGATAATAAAACTAGTATGCATTAAATGACAAGTCAAACACCCGCCCTGCAGAAACGGTGGAATGTCCTGGGTTCATGTATCCCATCTTGGACGGCCGGCTGCGGACTCGCCACCAGGGAGCACTCACATTTAGGARTCCTCCCACCTGACAAACAGTCTGGGCAAAAATAAAACTGTTCTTACCAAGGAAATGATGCAACTTGAAATGAACTCAGTACAAATAAAGAAAAGAGTTGGCTGGCGAGCATCAGGCGCCAACCTCCAAAACATCTGCAGAGGCCAGCGCGGCGGGCAAAGGCGCCTCCCCAAGTCATCGCTGCTCCAAACGTCGCGGCCTGAATTATCAAGAGATTTTTAGAGGTAATTTTGGAGTTAAGCACGTCCGTGGTAACTGCCTTGCACTGAAGCATAAATGGAAACTTGTTGGGATCGCAGACGGCCAACATGGTTGTGCAGCCTGCAACTCGAGGCGCCTGCTGAGCCAACCGCGCCAGCCACCGGAGATCAGTGGCAGCRAGGTCTCCTTCCCTGGGTGCGAAGCTGCTCCTCAGCGCCCTTTATCCCGCCCGGCCTTCCCTCCTTCTGTTTATTTTGGGGAGTAAAACAGCTACTGGAAAAACCAGGTCAAGCCACCGGCCGTGGCGTGAAGCGACCTAAGGATGGTGGAGGCATCGGTAGCTGTTGAGGGTCATTCTGCCCAGGGAGAAGGGCCGCTCTCACCTGCAGCTCCCTTCCTGCTGCTGAGGATTTACATAATATTCTGCTTTACATATATACAGATGCACTAAAGCCTCTCCCACCGGAGCAGAGCAGGTGCTCCGCAAACCTGTCGGCTCCCACTTCTTCTTCCATCCTCAGCCCTTCTGTGTTCCAGAAACCCTGYGGTTACCTCAGCACATGCGGTCAGAGCAGGTTCATCAGCTAAGATGAGATAATTTCAAGTGCCTTAACCTACAGGAAACTAAAAAAAGAAAGCGAAAATAGTCTGGAAAAGACACAGGAGTAGCAGAAATCTCTTTCCTCACACTTGCATGGGAGGCAGATCCACCTCATAGCTATGCACCATGCTGGTCCATAGGGGCAATTCCTTTTCCCACTACAAATCCCAGGTGATTTGGGTTTCCTGACCCCCAAAGGGGCACCCAGTACCCAACTACTCCTTCCCATCACCTACGTGCATTCAAACGCCATTCCCATTGCGACTTTAATTAAAAACAATATTAACGAAGAGGCCAAGAACGGGCTTTTAGGATGTTTTCCTGATGGAGAAGACTCCTGGCAGCGCAGGAGCATTGMCGCGGTTTAGCCCTGCACAGCGAGCTGTGTTGGTGCAAAGGAACAACCGTTCTCCTGCGCAGGGAGGCAGGGGATTCTGCTCACACACCCTGCAGCCAGGGCTTCTCTAAAGAACACACCAGACTATTGTGCCTTCATACGCCATAGCAGGTCTCTACTGAACATTCAGCGTTACTTAAAGAGCCTATTTTAGGTAAATCTYGAAATAAATTCAGCTGTTGAGGAGGAAAGACTGACTTCTGAGCCYGTCAGTAACTTGTTCGCAGGCTGCGTTACAGCAAAGCAGCCTCAGCAGAAGAGAATTCAGATAAACAGGATTTGGGCTGGCAGACATGGAACTAAAATATTCTCGCTGCAGTTAGAAAAACAAACCCAAGAAAAACTGTCCAGTCCATATTACCTCCTTGTTCCAGGAAAACAACCCGAGTCTGTCCGGCCTCTGGGCGTGCATGCCTGCAGYGCTTCAACCCAGCCCGTTACCAAAGTGAAAAAACTGCCATTTCAGTTCATTTGACATGCAGGTGAAACCGTTTTTCTGCTTGCAGTGGTCCCACGTGGTCGCGGCGCTCAAAGGCTGCCAGCTTAAGGAAATAGGAAATGCCGCTGGCGGCGGCGCGCTCGGCACGGCGGCCCGGCGCGGACGAGGCCGCCAGCGCCGCCGCCACCGCGACCCGCGGCCGCAGGGAAGGTTAAAGGCTCCTTTGTCTCGAGGCAGCTTTTTCCCCCCCGCCACCAAAGCAAACACGAAACTAGGAGCAGTTGGTGCCACATCTTCCACCCAGCTGCTCTGACACAGCAGCCCCGCAGATCAGCCCTGCGGTTTTGCAAGCCCTGCAGGTAAMGCCAGGGCAAAGGAAAAGGGAAGAACTAATGAATTAATGCTGAAATATGAGATGCAGCCAGGCAGCTAGAAACTAAAATGATGTTAAAGTCGCTTTCCTTAAACGTGAAGCTAAAGCGCTGCCCTTGCACTGCAAAAACGCCCAGCCACTAAACCCAGAGTCTGAAGGCTCCCGTTTCTAGCTGCGTGCGGGGCCGGCTCGCGCGCGGCTCRGGGAGCCTGTCGGGGTCCTCCACAGCTAGGAGCGCTGCACGAGACACCAGCAACGTGAGGTGGGTAACGGGGAAAAACGGGGACCCCTTGGCAAGGGTGCAACAATGCTGCTCTGTGCGGGACACCCCAGGCTGATCCCCTGAGGTCTCTTCCAACCCAAATCTCATCCTATCACTAACCTGGCAAGAGAGGAACTAGGCTCGGGTTGGCAACCAACCCAAGAATGCCACCTACCCCCCATCTCCGACTCCTTAATTTGTCAAATAAAACCACGATCTTTGAAGAGACAACAACAACCAAAGGACAAAGCTCACAAGCAGGAAGGGTCTTTTATCTGCATCTGTCCCACGGAACGTGAACAGGAGCCAAG